CTGAGTTTTCTGTAGCACGGTTTGTAAAAACTGATATTTTGAAACCAAAAATTTGATCGATTTTAAACAAAGATTTTTTTGATCTGTATGTCTCGTGATTTCGATACGTCATCATCTTTTTAGATCTTTCAAAAGCTATATTCACGTGGATCTACTACTTTGTTTCGGGAGGCTACGATTCTTTACCTGTATGAGGTGCCTTCTACAAATCTTCAGCACTCTCTTGCGGCAGAGAGTCAGGGGAACCGAAATTGAACTATCGATATGTGACGTCTCTTCCAAGAAAAATACTTTTAGTGGCGGTTCTGGACCTCTTTTTCCCTTCTTTTCGAACACTACACCGATTACGATCTATACCTGACGGGTATACCGACTGAAAAGACTAAGAGGGTTTGCGATAAAAGAGGAACGAGTATAAAAGACAAAATAAGAAGAGCTTAGTTCGATTAATCGAAAACACGGTATTGCGCTTTCGAAAAAGCGGTCTGCAAACATACCGGTTCTATACAAGGGCTACGAACGCGAACCTTTTTAGCTCTACGATAAAAGAGAACGATGTTTGTATTTATACGGATCGAGGCCGCCCGTAAGGCTATACGTAGTGGATAGTTGACGAGAGAAAACCCGGCGCACATTACTATGAATTGCTTTTAAGGGGTTTATAAGGTGTTTACAATCCCTTTACTTAGCACGTCGCCGTACCCTATGGGAAGTCCTAGGGTCCAAACATTGCGTTTTGGATACCCGCCAGACGTTAATAAATATAACAACAACAAGTACTACTTCGTTTCGAGCGCCTGATTATCGATAAAAAGAAAGTGGCAAAAGTGGATTGAACTATTGAAATCACCTAGTGGCTTAGCTAACGTACAAAGTCATACGAAGTAAACTGACTTCAAAACAACCTCTTGACTCTTGAGGTGATTCTCCACTTCTCCACGGATTCGTATGGATTGGGAAACAGTTATTCATAACCCGTTTCTGAAGTCAATTTTTACGTTGGACCAAACACTAACTTACGCTCAGTTTTCAAAAGCCAGGTACCGGTAGGCGCCTTATCTCTCTCTTCCCTGTGGTTCGGACCTCTGGGAAACCCCGAAGAAAAAAAGACTTATGTAAATCCTTTTTGTCCTGCCAGCGTAGCGGACCCGACCTGACCCGACCCGACCTGGCCAGCCTAGTCTAGTCTGGCTGCGGATCCGCCGACTGGAACAGAAGCAGCCCTGCGGCAAGCGAGCGACATGGTACTACGGAGTAAGAGCAAGCAAGCAAGCGAGGCTTGGCAATTAAAGCATAAAGTAAACATTCCGATGTCGGAGTAAATACCCCACCTTCTACATCCTATCTCGCTAAAAATAAACCGAAGACATACAGATAGGTATACTCCGTGAAGAATACCACATCAGTATCAGCAGCAGCATAGGCCAACTTAAAAGGAGAGAGAAAGAAGGAGAAGGAGAAGGAGATGAAGGACGAAGTCATCAGTATGAATAATTATTTGTTTATTTATTTAACTCGCGCTTCGTTACTGAACTGCGAACCGTTGTGGATGGATATTTGTTTGTTCATGCAGTTGTAACTTACGTTTCATCACTGACCTGCTTACTTTCTCTCTCTCCCCCTCCCTCTCTCTGAATCATAGCTGACGAGGCTCCGAACCCTAGTAGCCTATCCATGCACGCACGCACGCATGCACGCCCGGGTCCCAATAACCCTATTGAATGAAACGGGCATCAGGATGAATCCAACTCCACTTTCCACTTCCTTCCTAGTTCCATGGGAGAAAAAAAAGAAGAAAAAAAATAGAAAGCGAAAAAGGAAAAGACAAAAAGATAACAAAACGGGTGATGCAAATCCATTCTTGAGAGAGAGAGAAAGATCTACTCCGGAGACCTCAGGAATTTAAAAACCAAAAAGCCGATTGCTGATTAAGCCGAGAATTATGAGAATCGAAAAGAGAAAGAAGAACAAAAGAATTAAAAAATCAAATTCCAGAGTTGTAGATCCGATACCCTTTCCCTTCTTCACTCACCTGTAACCTGGATTACCTTCCTTTCGCTTCCTCTCCCGTCCCGACCCGTCCCGACAGAAAAAAAAAAAGGAGTTTGGTCAGTCGGTTGATCGCCTTCCTTACAGTATGATACAGCGTTGATAAGCGTTTTTCTTGGAAACCTGGACGGATAACAGCACGGAGAATTTCCAGACGGACGTGCTCCAGGAAGTAGTTAACTTGTACGTACTAAGTACAGATCCACCCCGACCCATGGAAAAATAAGATTGAGAGATTACCGTCCTTGGCTCCCGCGCTTGGCAAGGGATGCACAGAAGCTTCGCTCGCTTCGCTTCTTCTTGTTTTGCTTGACTGTTTACTTCCTCTTCAAGTTTCAAGCTTTTTTTTCTCCTGTTTTTTTTTATGTTGTGTTCTCACTTGTGGAATGCAATGGAACGAACTCCATGCAAAACAAAAGAGCTAGAAGGGGGGAGGATCTGTAAGCCAGAAGATAAGAAACCAAAACAATGGCTCTTGAGCAACAGAGTAAAAGTGCCGTACACTATCTACGGAGTATCCCATCACATTTCGTCACAATTGCGTCACGGAAGTAAACCCATGATAGTTCAAGCCGCAAAACGCGCCGCAAGACGCCGTAGTGTGGTGTTTCGTTTGTTTATTTGCATCCACGCCAAGACGGTAGGAGTCTCGCCAAAGCATCCCAACTCCTACTGCAGGAGGGCCCAAGAGAAAAGAGGGCGTCGGTCCAGGCGCGGATCTTTCCGACATTCCTCCGATGGGAGCAAAAGCAAAGAAAGGGCTCCCCGAACCCCACCCCTACCTAACCCAGTGCCCACCCAACCCACCGAACCGTCATGATCGACATCCAACTTCCTTTCCCAATGACACAATTGTCTCCGTAATCAATCGACCAACGAGTCAACGACACACAGAGCCGGAATAGTAAGCAGTCGACATACGACGCACTGCCAGAACACTAATCAATTGATCGACAGACGATACAGATAGCCGGAACAAGATGCCACGCGACTTTTTTTTTTTTGCCTGCGATCCACTTTACCAGACGGGTTTCTCGGAATCAGCTCACTGCCGGCTCTCGCCTCTGGAGGAAAAGTGTATTCATTCCAACGAGCCCGCTAGCTCTACTCTAGCGTAGAGCCTAGCTCTGAAGCCTTCCTTCGCTCACTTGCCATGAGTTTTACTACCTCAAGACCTTACAAACTAATCGTAAACCAAGAAATCCGTTCCGTTCCGAAATCGCTTCAGATCGCTCTATCAATGCGCGTAAAAAGTAAGGAAGAAAGAAGCTCTTCTCTTCTCAACCTATAGTAAGCCTTAGAAGCATAAAACAGTTCTTAGCTTTGTCTTCCCAAAGAGAGTATGCAAAAAAATATCTTGGCCTTTTCAGGAATATACAACTTCTACTATCTAGCTCTAGCGACGCTCTTACCTCTTTGGTGATAGCGTGTGGCGCAAAGCCACTTACAAATCCCACCCTGAAAAAAAAAAAAAAAAAAAAAAGGAAAGGAAGAAAAAAAGTCTCGCTAAAGAAGGCTCTCCGTACTCGTCAAAAAGTGACGACGGGTGTTCGCCAAGGCCCATCCGCAGTTACCGAGTCTGGCCAACGCCGAAATGAGAGGAACGTACTGGTCCCGAGTCCTGCCGGATCTTATAGGAAGGAAGCTTATAAATGGCTAAAAGCCTCATTGTTGAAGAAACTTTTCCAAGTTATCTTATCAAACCCACTTGCAAAATCACCGCTTCCGACCTTTATCTCAGGGAAGGGGGATAGTAGAAGAGGAAAGGCGATAACAATCAACCCATTATAAGAAGCGTCTGAGCCCGTCGAACCTCGCTCACTCAATTCAAGTCCATCCTAGCCAGCGACTTTCCTGGACAGCACATTCTTTTGGACCTTTCCTCATCTTCTCTTTTCGATATGCGCTCCTTCTTTAAAGCTCTGCCCTTCGTGGCTTCGGTCCTCGCCGTGCGCCCGTTCCTCAACGAGGCTGATACTGGGTAAGATCCCCGACATCAGCAACCCGAGTGGAGAGGCAGGAGAAAGAAAGGGCTAACGGTGGCTACCAGAATTGACGAAATCTTCGGAGATGTCGCCAACGGCACTCTCATTCCACTCGAGAACATCGTCGGCCTGCCTGATTTTGAGTGGGCCGCTCGAAGATACTTGAACGCCACGGCGTACACCTACTACCGTAACGGTGCTGGTGGAGAGTGGAGTTACCGCAACAACTTGGAGGTGTACCAACGCTACACCCTTCGTCCTCGGGTCATGAAGAACATCATCAACATTGAGGACTCGCTGGAAACCAACATCCTCGGCTTTCCGTTCTCTGCGCCCATCTTCATCTCCCCATGCGCACGTGGTAGCTACGGCCACCCCGAAGCCGAGGCTGGTCTGGTCAAGGCGGCTGCATCCGAGAAGATTCTATATATAGTGAGCACACATGTCTGGCATGAACGAGGAAGATGATGCTAACAGACTGCAGCCTTCGTTGTTCGCCAGCTTGACAATCGAGCAAATCGGTGCCTTGAAGTCCCCACCCATCAACAGCACCAACGAAACACCCCAGGTTACCATGCAACAGGTTTACGTCGATAGCGATCTGGTTGCCGCCCAGAAACTTTTCAACCGCGTGGAGGCTGCCGGCGGCAAGGCAATCATTTACACCGTTGACTCAGCTGGAGACGGAAACCGCCACCGCGCCGTCCGCTACGGCGTCGGGTCTGCGGACAGCTCCTACTCTTTGATTACCTGGGAAACGTTCCACACTCTGCAGAACCTCACCTCCCTGCCCATTATCCCCAAGGGTATAATGACGGTGGAAGACGCGCAGGACGCCGTAGAGAATGGCTGCAAGGCCATCATTTTGTCGAACCACGGTGGGCGCCAAGTAGATGGTGCCCCATCTTCGCTCGAGGTTGCTCTTGAGATCTACCAGAAAGCTCCTGAGGTCTTCAAACAGACTGAGGTCTACGCTGACGGTGGAGTCAGGTACGGAACCGATGTTCTTAAGCTCTTGTCTCTCGGTGTGAAGGCTGTTGGAGTGGGCCGCCCAATGATGTACGCGAACGTCTATGGAGAGGAGGGTGTTACGAAGGCTATCCAGCTTTTGAAGAAAGAGATCGCTCTCGATGCTGCCAACCTGGGTATTGGGGATTTGAAGAAGATCGATGCTTCATACGTCAACTGGAACAGAAACAACTGGTACAGTTAGTCGTTTGTTGGAGGGATGGTAGAGGGGTAGAGGATACGGGTATACTTTATGAGATCTGTATATAATTTACATGGTAGTTTTCCTATATACCCAGATTGGAAAAAATGTCAAATAATGAGTAAATCCAAGCAAGACTTGAGGGTGCTTACCCAGCGCTGAAACAGTCAGAACGATGCTTCCGTTTCTAGGTGGAATCTTTCAAAATAGATAATTCCCGCAGTCTGACCTATACAGCCACATTCTCAGTATCTTGGAACCATCCGCGGGCACCTCACCAAAGGTAATCATCACTGTGATCTAACCAAAAAAAATTCAGAAACCAACATAAGGTCAGAAAGCAATTCACAAGACCGACACAGCTGACAAACTGAATATTTAAACGAGAAAATGACGAGGGCAATGCGGGAGAAAATATTTAGACTAAAGTGACTGCAACTGCATATGGCAGGAGTCGAACGAACCGGAATCAAAAGGCGCTGCAAGAGCAGGCTTATCCTCTTCTGCGAGTAGTCGGGCTCTTGCCTTTGGGGATCGAGGTCGCGGTCGACTGTCCATAGGCAGCCGCAACAGGCAATTTCTTTTTCTGCTTCGACTCCGTTGATTTATTGGCCGGCGCATTCCAGTAATATACCATCTGGGTGGCCAGGACGGCATTCAGCGCGAAGCCAGCAACGAATCCGTACAGAATCAGCTTGTCGTCTACCTCTTGCAAAGTAGTGAAAATTCTAGAGAGGGAGCCAAGGAGATAGTTGAAGACCTTTAGCATGGCAAATTTAAGTCTCTGTCATCCTTGAAAGGTGTAGAAGGATAGGATTCGACCACTTACAGCGAAAGCGCTCAGCTGCCCAGTTCCACCTTCTTGCCAAACGGCCAAGATCTGCGGCAGCTTCGCGGCAACACCCAGAGCTCCAGCACCAGCCTGCAGGTATCCCAGAGTCTTCATGTCCACCATGTTCTTGCTGAACAACGTGAAAGCTCCCGTCGCCAACGCCGCAACGAACAGTCCCGCGGCGCTCTGCTTCCCGCTGTAATGCAGCACCAGCACGGCAATCGCGACATTCTGCACCATGATCAAGCCCGTCTCTCCGTACGTGCTGAACGGGAACTCCTGGCGCACGTTGTAGGCGAGGCTAATAAGGTAGGCGGCGGTCTCGAGCAGGTAGGAGAGGAAGGAGATCCCCGAGGCGGAGCGCGAGTTGATGAGCTTCAGGATCTGCGGGACCTTGACGATGGATGAGGCGGCGATGATACCGATTCCAAGGCCCTTGGAAATGGCGAGCTTGAGGCATTCGGGGGAGGAGATGTCGATGTCGAGGAGCAGGGTTTTGTAACAGGTCTCGCCCACGATAGAGACGCCGAGGTCGTGGATTGGAGCTGGTAGATTGTGAGTGATTGGTTGGAGAGCGGCGCGGAGGGAATCCATAGTTGCGGTTGCGTGAGTTTTGAGATGGCAAGAAAAAAAGGTGCTGCTGTTGTCGTCGTCGCCGCGTCGGGAGTTGAAGAAGACATCTGGCGAATGTCCCGAGAACAAATATACCGGCCGGAGTTGAGTTCCCCCGAGAGCTAGTGCCAAGTTAGCTCCACCTACAACCAGTCTGCCCTTTTCTCTCCAACATCTTTTGCCTCTTACAAACATTTCAGAAGCAAAAGACTCTCGGCTATCTATGAGTACATTATCCGAGAAGCGGCAAGCGAGGTATAAAATTTCTCTTACGGTTGACGCCAACCTTCCACGATCCTATGGTGCAGACACTACATTTCACGATTTCCCAGCTTACTCCTTCGAACCCTCTCAAAATCTCGGTACCTTGGATAGAATGAGCTTTCTTCTTCGAGTCCGAAGTTATTTCACGGAGTTCCTTTCGGTAATAATAGATCAACCAATCGGTGAAGTGGTTACACGGGATTGAGGCGTGAAAGCCAACAGACAGCGAAGATGTTTGTAACGACCTGTTCAGCGGATGGGGGGCCACCAAACTCAAGAAAGATCCACCTCATCGTTGCACGGGTTGTTCGTTTATCTGCCACGATAGCTGTGGTTGTGTTGAGGATGTATACACGTGCTTCTATTCGAACTGTGGGATGCGTCCACAATCGCCCGACTACAGAATCTCATAGTATCACCACCGCATCTTCTCTCTAACTACAGAGTCCTCCTCAGGCTACAGCTAAAAGGGCTGCCGCCTCTCGCTCTTCGCGCTCTCGTGTACATTCTTGCAGGACCAGGTCATCTTCCTTTCAAGCAACCTTGGCGGTTCTCTCTTTGAGCCTGTTTCCTCCCTCTACTGCGTCCTTCCTGGTAGTATCTTCCGAGATCGCCATTTCCCGGTTCAAACTCACCATCATCGGTACGTTAGCCCCCGCCCCTTGAAGTCTTCGTCGTTCGCACACTGGAAATATGCACCTCGTCTAACGACCACACTCCGACGAACATGTTGCAAACTCGCCCGCTGGAATCTTCCATTTTCTTAAATAAAGAAGGGCCAACCAAGGACTGGCGAATATGTGCCGTGCAGATGTAAGCGTTGAAGAGGGAGAGGCGGTCGGCGGCGTAAAGGGCATGGTGATACGGATTTAAGGTTGTTTACCGACAAAGCGTAACTCTGCAGGCAAAGAGGATATCGTGGAGGTTGAGGAGGCACGGGTACCGTTGGTGAAAGTATTCAAGGGCCGGGACGCGGGAATCCGAAGACGGGTGAATCCTCATCTCATAAGGAGCTGAAGTCAGATAGGGGGAAATTGTGGCGTCGCAGAGGGGGTCGACTTCGCGCCTCGAGCATCGACCTGAGTTCCTTGATATTTTGTACTTTGGCTTGCGCGGGTTGGTCCGAAGGCTACTTCGTTTTCCGCCTCCTCACAGCTCTCCTCTTCTCGACGGTAACATCAACCTCGAAGTCAAGCACGAAACTCGTACCCTTACCCATAGCTTCAAACCGGACTCCATCTGCCGACATACTAAAGCCCAACTCCCCGAATCCTCCTGGGGGACCAAGTATCTCTCTCATCTCGTCCATTGCGTCTTGGCCAATCCAAAGATTCCAGCCCACAATCCGGTGTCCTTCGTTCGGATGGTTCGTACGTTGGAGACGTACAACATAGTTGGAGCTATCGGGGCACGGATCCGATCTAGGGATCACGGGCAAGACGGGAGTAGCCTTTGGAGTCGTGGACCCCAAAACGACAGCGTGGAGGAAGGTATGGGTGAGCGCAACGCGAGAGAATGCCGTGGTGACTACCTCTTCCCAACTCCTCCCGCGGTCTTTGGAGAACGGGATGATCACGTCTGCGAAAAACACCACGGTGTGGTGTACGAGCCACGAAACGAAGATCCGGTCGACTACCGATCTCAGACTCACCTCGTCTTCCACAACCAGGCCAATGTTTTGCGAGGCCGGAAGCGAGAGCTCTTCCAACACTACTTCGAAGACCGCCAGACCGATACCGTTCAGCATGGACTGGCAGACCCAAAACAAACCAACGGCCGCCCAAATCTCGGTTGCCTGCGGGATCGTCTCCTGCGGCACAGTCTTTCTCATCCGACGGATCCTCAAGAGCCCAACCTGTATCCCCAGTAGACACACCCAGGTCCAAGTTCTCAGCCCCCAGTAGAGAAAGATCTCCGTCTCATCGCCCCGTCCCCTATCCAGGTACCTCCTCTCTGCTTTGTGGCTTGGGAAGATCATCGTGTCGGAGCTGCGAATCGGTGATTTCCAAACGTTTGCCATCTTTCATCGTTGCGAACGCATACAACGGGTTCTTTCCCACATTGAGCGAATGTGTCCGTACGTTGAAAATAAATGAAAGACAGCTTGAGAATGAAGACTCGAAGGTGGAGAAGAGACAGAAGACTCACTCATTCTCCGCATTGACCAGATAACGAATTAAACTCTGGCGGAAGATCGCAAGGGCATGTGTGGGGGGGGGGGGGGGGGTCGTGGGATGCAAGGGATGCCTACCTCAAGCAAGGGAAATAAGGCATGTTGGGGAGACGAACGTGATATAATCATGCCATTACAACAAGTGCAAAAGTGCAACTAGGACCACCGATTGGATCTCCAGAGGTGACTCGATATTGGGATTGATTTACATGCTGAAGGGGGCTGGTTGTTTTTCCCGAGCTCTTTTAGACCAAGACCACAGTAGGTGCTTTAGTTACCCCCAAAAAATCTCGTTGATATGATTAATTCGGAGTGGTTGGTTTTCTTGGCCGCTTACGAAGATCACCTTTATACTTTACTTATATTGCACAACATACCTATATATGCTTTACTTGGCATTTAAAGGTCGGGATAGTAAGCCAGATTCCTTCCTTCCGACCCTCGGCATCGTACGGAGATGCTTCATTCATTCAGCTCTCCTCTCACATGTACCCACTCCTACAGTAATTAATCCCAACCATAAACCGTCTCGCCCGTGGAAATGCTGTGCAGTACCAGTTTAAGTAGCAGTCGGTCAGTATTCTTTTAGTGAAGATACATTGGGGGGGGAGGAGGTTAATGGTTAATATACCGTATTGTACGTAGTAGCTGTAGATGATGAAATCTTAAAATATACATTCCAAAGACTAAAAATAAAAAAGATGCTGTCATTCCCTTTCGTAACCAAATACCTTACAGTACTAAGAGTGGGAGTTGAGCGAGCGGGATTTTTTTTTTCAAGCTGCATGCAGAGAGAGAACTCTAATAAAGCAACGAAAGGAAAACTTTACGAATTCTTCTTGCTCTATGGAAATAAGAAAACGATCGCTTTCCGTGAGAATTAAGCTGAGCTATTGGATGATCGTCCGGGAAATATCACCACCCACCACCGCCACCACCACCTGTAGCAGTTGTTTTAAGCACCAGGAGAAAATTTAAGCTGAACTATCTCATGAATATCTCCGGGACTTAGATAGTAGTTAATGCAAAAGGAATATTTATATAGTGGACCGGTTAGGCATGTTACATATTGGGTTCTCGATATCCGAAAGTCCTCAACGACGACGGAGGAGAGGTGAGGTTTGATTATACTTGACGGGGTGTCGCTAATTTGGCATAACAGCTATTATCCCGTCCCCCCTTCCACAATACTCACGATAGCGCTCCATAGTGCTTTCATCAGAGTGCGGGAATGGTGGGCTGATTAAAAGTTGCATGATTACTCCGTCAGATAGGAAACGCCGGCCCCGTCTACAGCTGACTGAGATTGCAAAGCGAATCGCCGCCACCTTTCTTTCTTCGTTGAAGCGAGAACACCACCCGGACCCCTTTACTTCCCTTCTTAGGACCCGGAACGAACAAGTCGCGATCTGACTCCATATCCGCCCTCGTCGTCTTGAACAGGGATAGCGTGGCTGCTGCTGTCGAATCCACGCCCGCCACACCACCGAAACGACCAAAGACGGCGTTCAGACGCAGGAAGAGCTCGTTGTAGGCGGGATTGATTCCGACGCACTGTCTCGAGCCTTTGCTAAACGTGACGAGGTATCGTCCAAGGCCTTTGTTGTTTGCAGCCATGCCTTTGTCAATCCTCGTCGTGATGAACTCAGGAATAGACAGCATCACAGGCAACAACCAGCCGAATTGTTTCGCTGCAGCGCGGAGGTGATGCATCAAGTCCATCATGCCAAAGAAATCGGCGTTAAAACCGTCTTTTTCCAGGTAGTGCTGGCTTTCCCCAAAGCCATACTCCATTATGATATCGCTCGTAAACGCACTGTATACAACGTTCAGATTGATAGGCTGGCTCGTGAACTCCAGCTCATACATTCTTCCCATTAGCTTGGAGATGTTCGAGTGGATGATGGGTTCAAGTTTTCGAACATTGGATTTCGAGAAGAAGGAGCTGATAGCCGCGGGCCGCATTCGGTGCAAGTCGTGATCTACCGTCCCCAGAGATCCCTCAGATTGCCCAAACATTTCTATAGCCCAGGAATATTTATCTCTCTTTCTGCCTCCTGCTGCGTACAATTCTTCATAGAAGTTGGGATCGTTCACATGTAGCTCGTAGGGGCAGATTCTGCGTTTGAGAGTGACGATTATGGGTCAAGGGATCGTGTGCCCTGGAAAACGGAAGGCTGACATGAGACAAGGCGCTCTATCTCCACCTCCCTGAGCTCAAGCATTGCTCGGTACCGGGTCGAAAATGGAAGAAGTTATCATCAGTACAAAGATGGAGGTGCGCAGTTAAGGAGACTGCTTCAGTGGCGATGCTAAGATTTCGCAGAGTATGCGTATTCCGATGACGAGGTACTAGCCTATATATTTCTGCTTGGTCACACATGGTCTAACAGCACGACAGCTTGAGAAGGATCGGTTGGGTATTTCTTTTGTCAACTCTTGGGGAAGCTTTATTGCGCTAACGAGGCTAGATTTGCAACACCACCTGTTCAAATTGATGATGGATCAGAGACCGTTCCTTGCCCCCATTTAGATAGATCCACAGCATGTTCTGGATATCGGAACAGGGACAGGACTGTGGGCGATTGAATTCGGTGTGGTATTAACGCGATGTGCAGAATTCGGTTGTTGACATGGTCCAAAGCCGATGATCATCCTTCGGCAAAAGTTCTCGGTACAGATTTGTCACCAAATCAACCTGACTTGTGCGCCATGAATTCGTCAATTAGCAAGATGTACCTTAGCTGACTGTAGAAGCGTTCCACCAAACCTATCTTTCATGATCGATGATGCTACAGAAGAATGGATCTTCAATAATCATTTCGACTTTATTCACTCATGTCAATGGCATTGCGCCGTGGAAGAGAGGAGGTTGATGGCGCAGGCTCTCGAGTGAGTCTGAAATCCATCTCAGCACTCGTATAGCCCCACCCTTGGCTTCGTCTAATAGGAAAATATCATAAGCAAATAGACACATCAAACCCGGAGGCTGGTTAGCAATGCAAGAGCTCTGCATTCCTGCCCGCTGTGACGACGGCTCAAAGGTTACCGGAAACTCCATCACGAGATAGAACAACCTCATACTGGAGGCTTCGATGAAGATGGGAAAGCCGCATAAAACCCACGCACTACGCTCAGTGGATGATGGCTGCAGGCTTCACCGATGTGCATTCCTCGCTGTACAAGTGGCCGTCAAACACTTGGCCAAAAAGAGAGAAGGAGAAGACACTTGGGCTATGGAATATGGTGAACACGCTCGATGGAGTAGAGTGATTTACACTGGCCATGTTAACCAGGGTATTGGGCTGGCAGCCGGAAGAGGCTCAATTGTTTCTGGCCGGGGTGAGGAAGGACACCAAGAATAAGAAGTTGCATAACTATTGGCCGATATCCGTCTTGCATCCATTTGTAAGATAAAAGCTAACTTTGCTAGATATATCACGTATAGAAAAAAGCCAGAGTAGTCGAGGATCAATGTTTTCAGCCAATGAAGCACAAGGGGAATAACATCTGTTCCACCGGACAGCGTCAGGCATTGCCACGTGACCAAAAAGACCAGCCCAGCTGAACAGCTCAAATAGGGATGCAGAATAAAGGCATCAAATTGATAAAAGTGTATGGCTCTAGGTATTAGGCGCCGCTATTCAAGTAACAGCGGTAGAAGTATATAACTGTAAATCCTGAGCGAATATTCGGAGGGAGGGAAGCGAGTACTTCATGAGCTTCACTCCACATCTCTTCCAAAATCCAGAGCTTCAAGTAAACAATCGAAATTATGCGAGGAAGCACATAGGAGAACGAACAGGTACATAAGTAACAATGGATCTTAAGTGCAATACATAGAACCGAAACTGGGTACCAGAGGATACGAATAACGAAACATGAACAGAATTTTGGATCCTTGTCCAAGCAAGCCCATAGCATTCGATAAAATCTCTTTCCGGATCTTCAGAACTTCCAGGAACTTTGATTCTGGGAGACTGCAGTCATGTGAAGACCAATCCAGTCGTACTAGACGAGTAGGTTGATATGTTGAAGTTCTGAATTAATATAGAACAGGAGGGTTGGATCGATCGAATTGAGGTTGAGGTTGAGTTCAATGAGCTCCCGGCTGACTAAGCTGACTAAGCTCCCTATGATTCCAGATAGACCCCTCGATTTGTACCCCGCCATCAAAGCTCCCACAGAGGCATCCCAATTCATTACGCTTCATTCCAATTCATCCCAATTTATTCCCGGAACACCCTCGAAATGCCACCCAACCACGGTCTCACCCACCTCAAAGAATACGATATCAAGGATAGCAATGTCGAACTCATCGGCACTGATATCGACCACCGGGTAAAGTACAACTCCGCCCTCACCGAGCCCGCCTGGAACGATGGCCACGTAGGCAAGGTCGCGGGCCTCTACATATGGCGAATCGAAGACTTCGAGGTCGTTGTGTGGCCTAGAGAGAGGGCGGGTCAATTCTACGACGGCGACAGCTACATCGTGCTGCATTCGTACAAAGTCGGGGAGAAAGAGGGGCAGGAAAAGCTGGTACACGAGATATTCTTTTGGCTGGGGAGCAAGACCTCGCAGGACGAGGCAGGAACTGCGGCGTATAAGACAGTTGAGCTGGATGAGTATTTGGGAGGCGTGGCAACGCAGCATAGAGAGACGCAGGAGCAGCCTTCGGAGGACTTCCTCGAGCTGTTCCCAAGGTTGAGGATCTTGTCTGGGGGCATTAAATCGGGCTTCAAGCATGTGGAGGAAGAAGCGCCTAAGGATGTCACGACACTATTGAGAATATTCAAGCACCCTGCTGGTCGGGGAATCGTAGTGGTTGAGGTTGAGCCGACATACCACAGTCTTGACGAGGAAGATGTGTTCGTTTTGGATAAGGGGGAAAAGATATGGGTCTGGCAGGGCAAAAAATGCAGTCCCATGGAGAAGGCAAAGGCAGCGCAGGTCGTTAATGATATGACGTTAGCGAAACACATCGACGTGGAGGTTCTTGCACAGACGGACTCGAGGTCGAAGGTATTTATCAATTTGCTGGGCGGCGAGGGCATCACGCAAACCGAATTTAAAGCTGCCAGAACCATCTCTTCGTCTCCCAGTACTGCGAAGCCGCGGCCCAGGAAGCTTTTCCGCCTCAGCGATTCCTCTGGGCAGCTATCTTTTGACCTCGTCAAGGACAGCCAACCGGTCAACAAAGACGATTTCGACGGTAACGATATCTTCCTTCTTGATGTTGGGAAAGAGATTTGGGTCTGGCGAGGACTCGGTGCAAGCAGAGGGGAGAGGGCTTCCTGGCTCAATGTGGCACAGTCGTACCTTCGACGACTCCAGGAGCAGTCTGGAAGTTCTGACGCGAATGCTACGCCGTTCGCAGCAGTTGTCGAGGGTAACGAGAGTCCAGCTTTCCTGAGAGCAATCCAAGTTTGAAGATTTAAGATCGAGGTAGCGATCTGCAATATATTTCAAATATTTCAAGTTCAAGCTGATAGTTCAAACAATTACAACTTGCTACCGAGCCCTGCAGATTACAGGCCTCGTCTCGTTACATCCACTTCACGCATCATGTCTTTTCGGCCAATCTGCTTCTCGTTTCTTCTTTTCTGTTTTGCAGCTAAGAATTCATACGCTGGCCTTATTAATGAATAGTGATATCTGTCACTGGCGTCGCTTCTGTTTGTTCTATAAGAAGAAAATTGAGTCTTATTTCCGATTGAAAAAAGCTATATTTTACAATATTAGTTGCATTTGACAACAGCTAAATAAAATAAAATTCGATAATTAAATAGAGCTCGATTATTGTATGTCGTGCATCTATTTTTAAATATTATTACTCGTTGCGTTATTGACTAATTCGAGTTGTAAATCGCATTAATTCTACTTGATATTTTGAAGTTCCGAAGCCTTTCTTTCAAGCTTAATAATCGATAATCGTCGGCTCGCTTAGGTAGGCCTCCTTACATCCTTTTATTAAGTTAAGCTGCAAGCTTGCTACGAGTTTTCATTTTCCAAAAACCTATCTTTTACGCAATAAATATTATAATAATTAATGCTTGTCCTGACTGGTACCGAGAGCCCGCAGGTAAAAGTCAGCGCACTGAGTATTAGATGGATACTTGTTTCGAACGGAATCACACGTCTTCCGCTAATCGAGGCGAGAAGCGGGCGCAAGGCTCTAGAAGCCAACACGAAGAGGATATTTTGTTACACTTCCGCCAATGGTTGGGATGGAAGCGCTGTTCAAGATATATTCATCCGGTATGACTTGGCGGCGATTTTTCCCGAGCATTGTGTATATGCGCTATCTGCGTGTTCTCTATTACATCAAAACCTGACTCTGTTTAAGTAGATGTCGCTAAGGCCGGTAAGGGAGTTTTCGGCTTGACTTGAAAAGGTACCACCGTCGTTGATGATCTTGAACTATGCAAGGCGGTTACGAGACGATGCTGTTCCGGGAGGGTGAAGGATGCCTCTGGGAATGGTTGATGAGCGTCAGATGAGGGGGCATGGGTTGATGATAAAGTTTGCGCCTCGAAGAACGGTATAGTAGAATGCTGACTCGGAAATCATTCTTCTTTCGGCGGGGGCAGGGCAAAGGCAATGGAGGAAATATTACAGTTGGGATACACGTGAGCCGGTATAAGACTGCGACTGTCAATACCCTCATACTCAAAACGTTGGCAAGGCTCAGTCGTGAGGAGAAATTGGTAGGTATTGGATGGCTTATTCTCATAAGGGAGGCTCGATCACAGCCAAAGGGCGTTTCGGTTTAGCGAAAAGTAGAAGCTCAATTTCCTGACCAGCAGGATCTTAGAGGTGCACTTTTGCTGCACCCGAAAGGCCTCGGCCCTGGCCATCACCATGATCCTCGGCGATTACCAGGTTCTCGCGCCTCCAGCGAGTGCGAAATCCCTCCCTTAGAACTTCAACTTGGCTCCGGCGGAGCCCTTGACAGCGGCTGCAACATTGTCCGGACCCAGAAGAGTGTAATCGTACGGGACCTTGGTCAAGGTGCCGACAGGGAAATCGGTGGTGGCACCTCCAAAGTCGTTGTCCCTCTCGACGGCGTGTCCGGCCGGGGTGCCGTCGCTGGTGCTGAAGATCGCCTTGTTGACATCGCCGGCCCAGGTGTTGGACTCGACCAGGACCTGCGCGTCGCTGCGGACGTGGATCCCGTCCGGGACGTCCTCGAAGTACGAGTTGAAGACGTGGCCGGATCCCCATCGGTAGAGCGGGGCGCGGGAGCCGACGTTTAGGAAGTAGCTATACCGAGATCAGCTTGTGGATTCAGCTTCGGATTGGGATGTACTGACTTGTTGTGGAAGGTCACTCTCATTTTTCCGCTGTCGATGGATCCTGTGTCATCGCCGTCTGTCGAGACGCCAGGAAGTCAATGATTGCCTTAATGAGAAACGTTGGGGGGGGGGGAGACAGATTAGGAAAAGACGGGATCGCCTGGACTTACTTCCAACCAAAGAAGCCTTGTCTGTTCACCAGGATTTTGTGGTTAGTTTATTTCAGTTCTTCATTGAGTCTCAGAGGGGTTTTGGGTTTGGGGAAGGGGGGGGGAGTATAAGGGGAGTATGCTTGAAGTAGCTCCTGAGGTATCCAAAATTCGAGATGGCACTTCTAACAATCGACACTTACGGTGGTCATGGATGAAGGAGTTGGAGATAGTGATATAGTCAGATCCGGTTGTCACCTGGCGAAAATGTCAGTGTAGATCTTAACTGGAAGAACTGGTGGACTGGACTAACATCAATAAGACCGTCATAGGTATTCTTGTCGCCGGTCATTTCGGACGAAAGATCTACGTGATCAATCCAAACGTTGGTAGAGGTGCCTGGCATAAGTCAGTATTCGCTGGCCATATTAGAACAGCGACAAGAGACTACTCACTGACACCGATAGCGTCACCATTCTTCTCGAGGACCTTTTGGATGGTCAAGTTACGAATGATAACATTGGTCTTACCCTTGACTAAACTGCATTCTGGTCAGCTGTGTTATTCTTCGCTAATTTTTGCTAGTCGCCTTACACTCCGAAACCGATCAGGATCGCACCGCTGTCTTTCCCCAAGAGACTCGTGTTGCTTCCAATATTCACTTGTGCGGCTTCCATTTTAATGGTTCCCGAGACGATTACCGTTTTGGCTTCGTCGCCGGCAACGGCGGCGACAAGTTCATCAAATGTGGTCACTGTTGTAGTCGGTGCGTTGCCGCCACCGGTGGTTCCTCCGTTTAAGCTGGCATACTTTGTAAACGTTAGCACTGCATTGGAAGGATTCAAGACCTCGGAATCTTTGAAACACTGAAAATAAATAAATAGGATTACGTACACCGATGACCTCGTCGTTGGTCTGGCGCTTAGCGAGAGCAGCGACTGCGTCTGTGCCAGAGAATAAAGAGGGTAGGGCGCTGACTCTCAAGCCGAGAAGAGAGAGCGAAAAAAGTGAGAACCTCATGATTGTATAGAGAATAATGTTTTTATTTTATAAACGGAAAATAATGTATAGCGGCGATTTGAGCAGCGCGATTAAAACCGAAAGAAAGCCAGCTTCTGCGAAATGTTTACTACTGACCACGAAATGAATTGTCGCGCTCTAGGACTATATACAAAGTACGTAGTAGTAACACTTGTTTAGAGTACGTCAAAAGCCTCACGGCGCCGCCGAGCAAAAATTCAAGTTTCGGGCCATGGCCAAGCTTGTCAAAATGATACTACCCCCCGTCCCCGAGTCAGAAGCAGGACCCAGTTTAGCCCCGTAGCTCGTAGAAGGGCGACTTCTGAATGAGTGATAGTGATAGGATTAAGCAGTACGTACGTAAGGAGTACTGTTAACAGTATGAGGTAGAGACCTTCGCTTTCCTCCTACCAGAGCTAGCCAGCCTCTTAGCTTACCTCTATTGTAGTATACAGAGTACATCTCTCAACTCTCCCTCTCTCCTGCTGCACTACAGTCCTTGTAGAGTAGAATAAACCTTTACAGCTAGCAAATACTCCGTGGTCTTGTCAATCCCATTGCACAGACCAAATGCTTGCTTTGAAGCCACTCTTCAAATCAGAATGTTTTTCTACTGGTTTGTGAGAGCCCTTGCACAATTACGCTTTCGCATTTTACAACTACCGAACTGGAGTTAGGGATGAAGTATGGAGTAGCATTACGTTGTATGTTACCCCAAGATGCCTTGGCTCTTCTTGACTACAGCTTGATGAGATGAACCAAAGTATTAATCCTTACTTGGAAGCTCTCGACTGTCCTCTATGCCTCTTGATGTTCTTCTATGACTTCCGCATAGTCTCTATGGATTGGGGCGATTCATTATCTAACAGAGTTGTTGCCCGATTGGAATGTGTACTTCGAACTGCTAACTCTACTAAGAGGAGAGAACCTGCAGGTAGTAGGTAGGCTCCACTGCCTATATTCGAGGCATTCGAAACAATGGGCCCGGATTGATCAGCCGAATCCGATCTTCGGCAACCGCACAGCCCCGACGTCGAGCATTAATTAGGATGCTTCCCGGCATCGCAGATCGCCCACCACTCCCACCTACCCCGCTTTCTCTTTCTTTCTCCGGCTTCAAACTCTCTTCTTTCTTCGGCTTCAAACTTAATTCTCTATGTACGCGACCAGCTCCCCGCGTTTCAATTGCGTCTAGGCCGACAGAAGAAGAGATGCCAATAATCCTGACGAGACCGGCGTAGAGGCTGTTCAGGTGGTGATAGATTGTACTACTTACGATTCTTTACCTGTTCGAGGTGCCCCTTACGAACCTTTAGCTTTTTTTCGACAAAAAAAGGGTTTAGGAAGCCGAAAATAAATCAAGGTAGCCTTTCGAAAAGATTTCTCCTAACCGGCGATCCGAACGAGCTTCTTCTTACCTCGATCACCACGCCGATTACGATCCACTTTTAACTAGCATATTAATTGAAAATACTAAAATGATTTGCGACATAAGGAAACAAAGTAAAAGAAATTAATAAAGGGTTAAGACGATTTACGATATTGCGCTTTCGAAAGGGCTACTGAACCGGCTCCGGTCCTCGACAATTGATACCGATATACGTTACTTACGCTACAGCTTGCTTTGAAGTTTTTTTTTTTTTTTACCAAATTTTTTCTTCTTTTTTTGCGATTTATTTTATCCGTTAAAGAAAGGCACAATCGATAGCAGCTGCGTTGTATCAATTTGAAATGCTTTTAAATTATAAAAGTTATGCGATACCGCGGGTTCAGAGACTCGAGTCTATCTATAAAAAAAAAGCTTTTTCTCAACGTGGTTTTTACTTTCGATTAGAAAGTACCTTATATACCTACTATAGTAAGTATACTATAGTAAGTACAGTAGTAAGTATAATTCCTTTACTTAACACGTCGCCGTACTTTATAAGAGGTCCCAAGACGGCAGGCAAAGCTTACCACCCGACGTTAATCTTAAGGTCCGGGGGTGGATTGGTCAGCCAAGGTTACATGATATCCCCCGCCTTAGGGGCTGCATATACTTTCGGTCTCGTTTTATACTACTAGTTCTCTTCTTCTTCGCGTCTTTCTTTCACACAACGTAGCGTATAAATTGGTAGCTATTATAATACTACTTTTCTTGAGCTGTAATACAAAGAAAGATCGCCCACTTTCGCTGCGATATACGTAGTATTGACCCCGTTCCTTAATAAACTTCGATTTGCTTCCGCTGCAACTCTGAGCTATTTTTAGATTACAATAGCTCTTGCTTTACCTCAGCTCGAGTACCTTAAATTGATTCCTTTATTGATTATAATCTTGAAGAAAGCTAGACCTTTTTCGAATTGCCACCGCTGCAATTCCACTCTTCCCTCCGCTTGAATTGTTTTGCTGCAATTCATGACCCCTATTTCCTCTTCAAAACTCATAAGGCTTTCGTGAGCTTTTTATGAATACGATATATCATAAAGAGGATTCCGAAGCTCTTCTAATTGAGATAGTGTTTAATACCTTTATACAAACTTTAATTAAGGGCCGAAAAACGTGTACGCTTCGTGTTGGTTTGCCGGTGATAATAAACATCAAACAAGATGAAGCTTCTTCTGTGTATCTCAACAGGTAAAAATAGTAATCTCATTCAATATTGATTCTGGTCTATGAGATCTTGATTGTGGACTAGCTGAAAAGGATTCTATCTACATAACGCATTGGATAGATTAGTCTTACACAGCGTGGAGACCGTGTAACGAGGAAGTGAGTGCTCCGAAACACATATGAAGCCGGCCCAAACGTTTACCGAGACCTAGCAGAGGGGGAAAAACAGATAGCCAGCGTCATCGTGATCTCCTGACTCGTAGCTCGATGAGTGAGGAACCAACACTTCGCTTGCACGAATCTTTTTCTTTGTTTTTAGTAATTGCTATTTAGCTTCAAGTTCCTCTGTTTATTGCTTAGTTGATAGCTAGCCCTCCCGTTGTATCGTATGTACGCGTCTAACCTGCTTTAAACTGGATTGAAAGATTAAGGCTGCAAAGGATACGATTGCTTTAAAAAAACCTTTTAAACTCGAATGCTTTTTCTTGACTTATGCCGCGATTCATTGACTTTTTGATTATCGCACGCAAGCTCAACGCATCTATTACCATGAGATATTTGATCGCTATTCGCATTTTAGTACTCTTAAGAATTTCTAAGAACGCTAAGGATAATATTGTAAGTTACGCTCCTTTTTAGCCTCCGTCCGAGGCCTTTGATCCTTCTTTCGATTTTAATATTGAAGGCAGTAAGTTCATAAGAGCTTTAGACGCTTAGATTAAGATTGCTATGCTTAAAGATAAAAATAGTAATAACGCACTTTCCTTTTTTTGTATTAGCTGTTTCTTTCGATAACGCACTTCTATTCTCATATACTTCGAAGCCTTAATGAGATCTTCAGGCTGCTGTTTTCATTATTAGACGTTAGCAATTCGTCTTTCACCGATTTTTAATGAGCTTGTTGGATCGCCGGTAAGGATCGATCATCGATCGTTCCTAGCGTGCAGCGCACGCAGCTTCTTGCAATTGCAAAACTATCGATAAAAATGGTATCTGATTTCTGTCTGCTCCCCAAGGTTCAAGTGTTGGATCGCCGGTAGCGAACGTTCGTAACTTTCTTATCACTAGCGTGCAGCGCACGTAGCTCCTTGCAATTGCAAAACAATAGCGTAAAAATAGTACCTGATTTCTGTGTACTCCCCAACCTTCAGGGGAGCTGACTCCTTCTAGACGATTAGAATGAATCACGTGCACTAGCTATATAATAGTGTTTCTGCCGAAGTTGGGGGTTCCTTGAAAAGCGTGCTACGCTAAGCGAGGTATGCTCATCCGTGCCTGAGATACCCGAACCTGCCAACATCGATACTGATATACCGACATCAAGGGAGTCGATTCCTTTTATACGATTAGAAGAAATTACGTGCACTAGCTATATCATAGTATCTACAAGGGAGTTAGGGCTCCTCAAAGGTATGCCACGCTAAGCGAAGGCATGCTCATCTCGTACCCGAGATAACGGAGCCTGCTCTTTCCTCCAACTACGTCGACTCGATATTGATATTACCGACATCGGCAACTCTCTCTTTGGCAATAGCTTTTGGCAATAGCTTTTGGCAATAGCTATATGCCGAATACCATATCGACCAAAAAGGAAAGTGCGGCTTAAAAAAGAAACAAAGGAAGAGGACCCATTTTCCTCCTCTACAGTACAAAGTCTTCTTCTTTACACTACAAAGGCCTCTCAGCCTTTCCGTCTACTTGAACCTCCAAGCTATTAGTCGAAAACGAGCTTCTACAAGAAAGCGTTAGCGCCGATTCTAATCATAGCGTCGGCGGAATTAGATTTGCTTTTGATTCAACGTGCTTGAAAAAGCTTACGCCTTTGGTGTGAAGGAGACAAGATAGATAGATAGATAGATAGATAGATAGATAGATAGATAGATAGATAGATAGATAGATAGGATAGCTTTTTCTCTCGCAATAGGCGGAGGCGGGGAGGGTGACCGGCGCGGTGCGAAAGCCGAGAATGTGGATTTTCGATGCTGGTCTTGGAATACGGTAGCTGGCGAAGAAACTGTGGTAGTAGAACCACGCGATCAAAATCAATATGTGAATGGGATTGTGTGAAAGTGAAAGGGGGTCCAACACAATGGAGCAGGAAATGAAGGCATTTAGATTATTCTTTCATTGTGAACATCGGCCCTCTTCTATGCATAATGCATTCAATGTCCTTGGATCAGAACAGTCCATTCATTCATTTGTGCCCTTTAGCTCCGAGTAGATATTTCTGGATATCAAACTATAACCCAGAAGCGCCCACCCGTATATACCCAGCCTCCCATCCCTCTCAACCAGACTAGTCTAGTCTACCGCAGCCCGAGCTTCAATCAGACTCCGCATCATCGGGCAACTCCTGTAATCTACCCTCCGAGTAGGCTTTCGCGACTGGGTTCTGTACGTCCATGACGCCGGTCTTCTTGAGTCTAGTCATATGTCAGTCCATAAACTCCGTTTCTATGTTCGCCTACAATAGAGAGAAGAGCAAAATACCTCTCAAACAGCACAAACAACTTCTCCGCCTCCCTCTCCTTCTCCTCCTCAGTCATCTCTTCCATCTCAACATGCTCTTCCATGTCCAGCAACTGCCCCGTGATAGGATTTACCCTTTGCGCCATACTATCCTGACTCGCTCTTGTGTTACTACCCTCACTACTTGTACTCCACGCCTCCAATGCATTCTCCGGGATAGGAACGTTATGCTGGAACAGGAATCCAGATGCGAAGCCGTAGCCTACATTTTGTACAAACGTGCGGGCATCTTTGTTAGAGAGCTCGAAGAGTAGGGCGGAGACAGACTCCCGGACCTGTGGGCTAAGAGGATTGTTGGTTAGGCGGAGGAGACGGGAGGGCAAAGTTTCGGTGCGGCCGAGAACTTGTTTGCGGTCTTCTTCGGAGGGAAGGAGAAGCTTGCCGAGATAGGTTTGGACATCTTTTGGGGCGAGGGGTAGGACTTTTCTGATTACTGTCAAGAGAGGCGAGACGTTATGTTCGAGCTCGTCCTCAGTGTAAACTTTCACACTCTTTTCCAGAAGTTCAACGAGGCGGGTTATATGAACGTTTGGTGTTGCTTTGGGGAACAGAGTTGCCACATTATCCTTATGCTCCAGGTCCAGGTTCATCAGGGCATTGACCAGAGATCCGATCGGAGGTTCCAGGGGCTTGCCACTTGGAATAGTACGTTTCGTAAGGATAATCAACATTGGCTGGATGGCTGGCGAGAAAGCTCCAATCCGTTGGGGACAGTAGTGTGTGATGTTGAACATCAACTTGGCCATCTCAATCAAAGCCATTTCCTCCATAGGGTCGACCTCCTTCACCTTCTTCTGCTTCGTGACGTATTGTTTCGAATTCCTGCCGATGTTCTGGCATATGTTCTCCGCCAAGTGGTAATCGTCGATCAACTTTTGAAGGTCGAGATTTGTATCATAGGTACTGAGGAAGAGGATCCGGGAAATTAGAAATTCATCGTCTCGACTATCATTCTTCAGCTTGTTGCATGCCTTTTGCTCAAATCCCAGATCCACGAATATTTGTCTCGTTTCGGGTTTGAGAAGGAGGGCGTTGGCTAGGACTCGTAGGGCATTCCGGGAAGTTGTAAGGGAGGGGCTGTTGAAGGCATGGCGGGACAGTGTCTCTATGCCCTGTGACAGTCAGCTTCTGCAGGTATAGCATTAGGCTCTGTAACTTGCCTCTCTCGTGAAGATAGGATCGGAGTCAGTAGGGTCGCGGCCATGAACCTTGACCTGTTCTAGGATTGCATCGCGTTCTACAGATATCAGCACGGTCGCGGCTGTATGCAGGTTCACATACGGTGCGGTAGTAAGCTGATCTTCTCTAGGTCTGCTGTGAGCTTTCCCATGAGGCTGGTAACCTCGTCCAGTTTCCCTGGCAGTGTCAGCCGGCTTCTTTACGTATGTAGGAGCTACTAACCAGTCCCCTTCAGCTCAACAGACGGTGTAGCCATTCTTGCACTTGCGTACGGTCTTGGGCGAGTTTTTTTTTTTTTTTGGAGATATAGTCCGATCGAAACTGGCGTCCTCGTGGATTTATCTGCGCAGAAGCTAATCGAAACCTCGCTCTCTCCGGTCCAGCCTCTTTGTCCTTTGTCCAAGTTCAAAGTCTTTGCTTCGTAAGTCTACGATCTATGGACAGAATCGTTGGCACGCCGAGTCGTAGGCCTGAAAGTCAACCTAGTTTCTCCCAATATCTCAGGTTGCTATAGCCCAGGTTTATGTTATGGAGAAGGCCTCGATCTCTGGCACCCAGGATATGAATAGCAAAGAATAGAATGCAATGCGCGTATTGTATTTATGTGTTTCTGCTGTCCTCGCGCAATGTGGTGAGGATATCCCCACTGATATCTACGATCGGGCCTCCTGTACCACGTCTCTCGCGCCGTGGGATGTAACCTGATTTTGTGCAGCCTTTGTATGCTGGGCCCGGACTAAAGCTGCAGCGGATCGGTGGGCATCTGGAACCGGATTCAAGAGGTGCCACGAGGGGCGCAAATGGCCATTGCGGGGTAAAAGATAGAGAGGCAGTCGGTCCAAATGTGAGGAGTTTAGCAGGTGGATTGTTGTCGGCGAGATCGGCGAGGTCAGCGACGATAGAAACAAGTCTCTGACTGTTGACGCGGAGGTTTGTCCTTGTCATTTGTTAGCTGTTAGCTGTTAGCTTTTAGCTGTTAAGTCCGTAGTAGTCCGCAGCATTGACATTGACTGCAAGAGATGTTTGGCGATCAAGTTATGCTGAAGATAGGACTGGAGCTTCGGCATTACTATATCCCGAAACAAACAAGCTAATAATGCCCAGCGATCTCGTGCACGATATCACGTGTCTTGAAGCGCAGCTTCCCTCTTCTTTTCTAAAAAAATGGAGGGCAGATACTATCGCTTGTTATTTCAAAATGATATAGTCCCTAGTTCTTTGAACCCTTTGCGGTACTGCCACCTGGTACGGTGAGTGACAATGATTGTATTCAATTTTGTTTGTTTATATTATGCTCTAGAGCTTTGTGCCGAAGTTCTAGTCAATGCTAAATGCTACCGTACTTAATTAATTTCTACTGGCGCTACTTACTCAAGTACCTGAGAGGCCGGTTTCGCTATGGTCGCGTGTCATTGGTTGCACACGATTCAATAGCGACCTCTGTGGTCAGTTCACTCTTGCGAGAATTCAAATCGAACAGCATGGTGTCAAATTTGAAGCTCTACAGAGCTGCAATCAGTATTCGATGAGATGGCACTGCATCTTCGAGGAGTTTCTTTTCCAGTTCTGTTAAAGAGGAAGCATGATCCATTTGGGAAGGTATCCGATTTTGAGTTCTCTTGGGACCTCAGTCCATCACACGATCTGGGCCACGACATAATCTATGGTACAACTCGAGTGGCTCTTGGTAGTCGCACATGGCTATCTATCGATCTTGGAGTTTCAAGTGGACGCTAGAAGAATGCATGCAATAGCAGCTCTGGAAGTAATCTCTCATCATTTCTGGCCATTTTGAACTATTCAGATGGTTAATTTTTCTCTCAGGGGTCAACTGGAATTATCTTCTAAGGATCACATTCTCCGGAGTCAAGAACGACGAAATCAAGTTAAGTACGTACCTGCGACGAATTTTTTGTATCTCGGTGGTTTGGCAACATCGACAATTAAAACTCGGTCTTCATGATGGCCCCCCACTAGGTGGATCTAATGAACGTTGAAAATTCAATGTCTGTAAGATGCTCAGGTTGTCCAATTAAGAGGGCACTCATAAGAGCGCTGCATTCAATGGCAAATTTGCGATAAGAGTAGAAGACTCTCCTCGCTGGCAATAACAAATCGATTATCAGTGCATGTTATCGGACCAAAAAAATCATCTGCTGCCATAGCAAAATTAATTACTCTTTGAGCAGCACTTCAGCAGCATGCCATAATCGCCAATGAGAATGAAACGAGCAAAACCAGCGGATAATCCCATGGCCAGAAGCGCATAGAGTATTCCGGTTTCGGCAAGTAGATGTACATCAGTCCAATCTTTCAAAACATCCGGATCTCTCAATGCGCGCCTTAAAACCTAAGCCGCTCTGAAGGCGGCCCGAGAGTGTGCAGGTTTTTTTATCGACTCGGCTCAAAACCCTACTACGATACTTCAATCCCAGATATGCAACTGGTTCGTGTCTCTTCGAACATCTCACCATTGGTACTAGAGCCGCAGGACTCGGAGAGCCTGAACAGGTCCAAGAATAAAACTGCTCTGGCAACCAACCAAAACTCAAGTGCCCGAGAAATGAAAGCGAGGTCCGGGAACGTGGAGGATGTGAGCCTTTAAGAGGGCTGTAAGGAAGGCCATTTTCCAAGGACAAGATGGCGATTAAACGGCAACATTGAGGCCTATATTTTCTGTTCTTGCCTAGAAGGTATACGTGGTTGAGCGGTTTGAAGCGGTAAGGTCTTGGGATCTGGTTGAAATTCTAGGATCTAGCCCTGATTATTGCTCGTCGCTTCTCAGGACTTTTGCCACTTCATAATTGCTCAATGAAGCTACCATTACTAGCTCTGCGACACACATACATAACAGCGCTGTCTATCTTAAAGCTCGGGTTTTACGTCACACCCGATCCGTATGTGCGGCTACGCAGCGAGGATGGCCTGATATCCCCATTTCATAGTTAAGAAGGACCAATATCCGAAGACCCGCACTCACGTTTGGGACAAGTTTATATTAGCATTCTTTGCATAGAGCTGAGAATCTTAGGAGTATGCTGGAATTGAGCCAGATGAAAGATTTTTTTCTTATAAACCAAACTTCTGCACCCCTCCTTTTCATCATCGCCCTCACCAGCATCAGCAACACCTTAAGAGAAAGTATAAGTCTAGCACCAACAAGCCACTATGGAAACAGTACGAACAAAGTTGGTACAGCGGGTTGAGGCTATGGCAATTTATTCGGAATTCTTCTTCAGAAAACCGAAGGGAGGGAAGGAGGTGTGGTGCGAACAGGGGCTTTTGTTTGATTTGTTTACATATTCCTCGCTTAAATTTCAGCCCTTCCTCAACCCGAGAGCCAGGCCCAATATCAGCTAGGTCTTACCACGATTGTAAAGCGTCGTCTATTTTTACTTTCAGCTCTGCCACCAGCTCAGGATTGCCGTTGCACAGCCTCGTATCGCTGAACATGTGACCCACCCTCGTCACCTACTGACCGCGGCATGATGGTGTGAAGAGGATCAGGACACAAATGAGTAGTAGTAAATGAGTGAGAGACAGGCTATCCGCGATAAACTGGTGATAGTCTCGGAAACGCACGATGTGTCGCGCAGCAGATCCTACGGTACTTTTAGATATTCGGTAGGCTCGGTCCTCCGCGCAACGCGATCTAGTGCCTACTGTACCCGCCGCCCCCTCTCACTCTATAAAGTCCTCCTCGGAGCTCACAAACCACTTGATGTATCAAAGCGATACAGAAAACTCATAGCTATATCAAGAACATTACAAACAATCACACATATATCACCAAGACCAAATCCCCGACAACCAGCAGCAACAATTATGTTTCCCACCACCTCCCTTCTCATCGCCCTCCTCCCCCTCCTCACAGCCGCCGACCCATTGGCTTACCCAGCTCCAGATAACCCCTTCTTTACCTACAAGCCCCTAACGCTCACCTTTCACGGCGGCCCAGCCACCTACGACCTCGCCTTCCGCGCTGACGGCAACACCTACTCAGTCTCGAACCCTCTAGCCGTCAGCGAGATCACCGTAACGCCAGCCGACTTCGACATCTACTACAGCTGCAACTTCTACTTCAAAGACGACGGCGGCAAGCAGGTTGCTGTGACGCGAGACGCAGATGGCAACGGCGTGCATGTCGGCCCACCCAGGGCGGTGACGGGCGTGAGTTGTCAGCCGACGGGAGATCAGGGCATTTGTTTGCCGGTCTATGGTAAGTCTCTTTTCCCTCTTCTTCTTCTTATTCTTCTTCTTCTTCTTTTTCTTCTTCTCAAAAATTTATGAGGGCAAAAGACAGCGCTGACAGAACGTGATAGCTACTTGCCAGTGGTGCGGTGGCATGAACGGACAGGGCGGATGCCGTCTTCTCAACTGCTGCAGTGGCTACTGCGCCGCTACCAAGTGCCGCAAGACTTCTTGATTTCAACTGCGTGATTTTCCTTCCCGGGTTATAGAAGGAGCTGAGATTTCTACTTGCCTCGTCCACTGTCGCTCTCTCTCCGAAAAAGAAATCACTTGTATGGTTCCAAAGGAGAAAGTCTGCCCTCGTATTCTCGGACTTGAAGACGAGGGTACCGAGTGTTTGAGTGTAATCTTTGAGTTCCTGCATGGCGTGCTTGTATTGGGGGGGGGGTTCTTCTTTCTTTTTTTTTTTTTTTTTTTTCTTTTTTGACTTTCAGCGTGCCCGTCTTCACCTATTTGTAACAAGTGGTGATTTCTTGCCGACTATCGCAATATTAAGAACTCTCAACTCGCGACACGTCAGTATCGTCTCTCCGAGGCTCTGTGTGCGATTGTCTTCGAAATTTCAGACATCGAGAATAAGTGGACTGAAGTGTACAAGAAGGTACTGCTGAAAACAAGGGAACAAGAAGCCAAAGTTTTGAAGCGAGAACAAAGTAAAATGTTGCTTCTTCTGCCATCACCCCGAGCCGGTTCTTCTCCCAAGTCTCACAAGCCAGCTGCGGCCGTTCGCTATAGCGAGAAGTCCTTTCGGCAGGTCGGGGACTGTAGAGTCTAGGTCTGCGAAAGATGACCTTATCAGGTACGACGCTAGTTAAGTCATCTTAATTATTTAATACGAAATTTTCAACTTGCTCACAACGACTTGATTTTCATTGCATTCGATTTTTAAGATACGGTTTCTTTAAGAATCCGCTAGAACTAGATCAATAGCTCGTTGCGCTCGCCGCATAGCTTAAGAAATAGTTCTTATCACTTTATCTCGGTCTTTCGCGGATAATAATAATATTAACAACGCCGATTATACACGGCCTTAAAACGCTGCATCGCCGTTTAACTTTACTTAGCACTTTAAGAAAAAAAGAAAAAACGCTATTATCAACTTGCAGCCTTTTCTTTTCGTATTAAAACGAAAAGCACTAATTATTAATACAGCGACGAAAGCTATCGAAAGCTACTTCGACGATATCGACCGCGCGGCTGCTATTAAACGACGAGTCTAGTAATAATACGCTTTCGCTTCGAATTAGATTGTAAACGATCAACTTGATCTCGAATCTCGATATTATGCGCAAGAGTTCTTTAAGAGTCTTTTTACGTTTATACGTATTCATTTATACGCAACTATCGAAGCAGCTACTCTTTCTTTTTTTTCGACCGCTTTTTATAATAGCGAGCAAACGGCCTTTTTTAAGTCTATCTTATAAGTAGATTCCGCAAAGCCTTCGAAGACTTTAAAAAACTCAAAGGCTGCTGCTTAATCGGCAATCGCTAAGCTGTCCCGATCCTCTTTCGTTATAAGAATAAGACTTATAAAGACCCGCAAGCTTACGAGCTTTTAAGCTACTCGCAAGTCTTTTAACGAATAACTTAAGATACGTTAAGATAAGCGAGTCTTGATTCAAGTACTTTCCGCCGCACTCTTAGCTCGCTTCGATAGCTACGCCGCTCGCAAAGCTATTGCTGATAAACTAAACGGCGTCGATATAACTATTATCTTTCGTCTTAAGGCCATTCGTATTAGTTAAGCACTTACTCCGATCAACCTTAAAGCGAAAGACCTTTTTATTATAAATAAAGCTAAAAAAGTGTATTAAAAGGTTCTTAAAGCTACGAGAGCGATTATCTCGATCAAATGATATACGTACGCTATTTAAAAGGTCTTTGCTAAAATCAAAGGCCTTTTCAACGAGATTTTCAAGACGGCGAAGCATATCGACGAAGAGATCTTAGCTTAAGCTAAAAGAGCTTCGGTAAGCGTTCGCATCTTTTAGCATAAAGCCGACTTAGCGACCGGCTTGATTTACTAAATAATCTTTTTCTTAAAAAAAGTACGCAGCTTTAAGTTGTTCGGCTGTAATAGCTACTCTCGGCTAATCGATAAAAAGCAACTTATTAAAAGGCACGACCTTGGCTACCTCGGCTAGTATAACTCGATTAGATGCACTCGGCACGCACGCTGCTTTTATTACGGCGAACGAAAAGACTAGCACGACGGGCTCGACGGCAAAGATTATACAGCACCTTTTCGCTATACAAACTGCTACGGCTTATACGAAGCTAATCATAAGAACTGCTTTACGGTTTTTAAGCGAGTTAATAGCAAAGTAATTACTTTTATTAAAAAGGAGCTAAGCGCCGTCCGACGATTAAAAGCTTAAGCTTACGCTATTGCTAATACTTTTATAACGAAAAAAAACGAATCGATTTTAGCTTTTTAATTAAAGACTTTTGCTACCGATATTAACGCGGCTCTCTTTCGAAAAAAACGCGCTTTTGCGATGCAAAAGCACGAGCGAGCGACCTCTTTTTAAGCCGTCTTTTTATAATCTTTTTTTTAAGCTTTTACGCAAGCTACGAAACTTTTACGCAATACGGCTACGCGCAAGAACTTTAACGAAAAGACTTTAATAAATAACGCTTTCTTTGCCGTAAACGAAAAAGAAGACACGTTAATAACGATATCGGACTATTACGTAAACAACACTATTAGCTTATCTTTTTCGTTTATAAAAAGCTCGAGCATTGCTATTAGCTAAGATGCTTAAAACAACTTTATATATTAAGCACGCCGATATAGCACCGCGGCACTCGCCGCAATCGATAGCTTTTTAAAGAAATCTAAGTCTATTAAGCGAACGTAAGTAAAAAGCAGCTATACTATATTGCTTTACTTTACTTTTGCTATTCGGTAAACATTAACGTTATTTATATTTAAAAGCCGTATACGCACTCGAGTATTAAAACTTAAAATTACTCGTTTTACGATTGCTATGCTTTAATAGAATCGTAAGATAATCAAAACGATGCTTAATACTTCGCTAAGCGATTACGAATAATAACTTACGTGCGCAAGAACGTAAGTCTTCGCACTTAACAACGCCGTTTTATTCGCAATAAAGATCTTTTATAAGTCGATGTGAACGGCTTCGCTACTTTAAACGTTTATTAGCAACTTTTAATAGACTCGATTATAAACTATATCATTTACTTCGTCCTTCTTTTTAAGTGCTTGATTAAAAGGGACTTTAATATATAATACGATATATTTAAACTAAGAATTAAGCTTAAAAGCCGAAGAAAAGACTTTACGGCTTAGTCTAATGCTAATAAGATAGACTATATTAGACTCTCGAGCGACTTTACTTATAAAGCCGGTTACGTTTTAAACTTAACCTTTTTAAATATCCCGTTTGCTTAAACGATAATTCGCTTCGATCTTTATTCGAGCTTAGATTACGAGACTTAAGTCACGATTATCTTTAGTTAAAAAGTTATTCTTTTAAAGCGTTTTTAATACCGGGTACCGGACTAAGACTTCGAGAAATTCGCTTCGCTTGTAGCGCTAAACGTAAACTAGCTTTTCGACTCGTAAACGATACACTTTATTAAAGAACTCGATTAGCTTGCGATCAATTTAATTATTGCTTTTAACTTTATTTTAAAAGTTGCAAAACAGCTTACTCGAGAAAGGCTAACGGCTGCATTATAATAAACGGCAGACTATTAGACAGCGTATAAGAAACACTTAGCAGCGCGCTTTATAATATACTGTAAACACCCTACCTGATGGGGTACCTGCCATGGCCACTAAGGCCACACTAGACGGACCCATCTTCTATAAAAGGGCATACATTTCTTAGCTAGAACAATCAACGAGCTTTCCACTTACTTTTTTTAACACTTTTTTTATAAGACTATAAGGTCTAGCCTTAAAGCTAAGCTTTTGTATAGCATATCTTTTTAAATGCTTCTACATTAGTGACTTACGTAAAGATTTAAACCTTTGATCTTTGTCTTTATATAACTTATTATAATCGCTTGATTCGCAGTCAAGTTGATTTTCGTTTATTATTTAGCACTTCACTTTATAACTACAACTTTAAAACAATTAAAACTTTATTCTCGATGAGTTCGAACATCGAAATGCCGAAATAGCCGAAGTGCAATATTTCGGCTCTTCGGCAAAAACTCTCTTTTATTATCAATAAAAAAGAATTTTCACTTATTAATAAAAATACCCTTTTATACCTTAGCTCTTATCTTAAATTAAAGTAATTGATATAATCTAAAGTTATTAGCGAAGCTAATCAATTGATTCTTAAGTTTTTTATAGTTTTAATCTTGATTATTAGTTTACTTTTGCAAAAGGTCTACTTTTTTTAATTTCGGATCGAGAATACTTTGCGAAAGTCATTTATTTAGCTCGTGAACCCGGTTTACGAATTAAAATCAAACAATTTAAAAACTTTTTATCAACTCGATCATTTTTAGCATACACACATATTTAATCTTTAAAATACCGAAAACCTTCTTAAGATTTCTAATATCGAAGTCGGCGCCGCGTCACTTTTCTTTTCGTTAGAATCTTTTGAATTTATTAAATCTTTTAATCGTATTTTTATAAGCTTCGGACTAGCCTTATCTTACTTCGACCTTTAATTAGAACCTTTACTTTTATCGAAAACATTTGCTTCGAAAATGCTTTTTAAAATCAATACCGGTTTTAAGATTTATATTACTCTTTTTCTTCTTATTCCTTTTGCTCTTTTACTAGGCCTTGCGCTAATTATAGTCGACCTTGCTATCTTTTACGCTTTCATGACTATTCGCATGTTATTACTAGGTGCTTTAAGAGCTTTTTGCTTTAATAGTATTAATATCACCGACTTTATCGAGAAGTACGAAAAGACTTATAAGGACTTTAATATCTTTTAAGACGATCGGTTTGTTAAGCTCTTTCGTTATTGCGATAACTTTCGTAAAAAGGTTATCAAAAGCTTGCTCGAGTAAAAGGCTAAGAAAGATTAAACTGCTTTCGTTAAAGCTTTAAAAGCCGAGTTTCGTAAAAACGATACTTAGTAGATCAAGGATTCGGTCGCTTTCTTGCGGGAATTTGCTATACAAGAACGAGATATTAATGACTTAAAAAACTATTATCGCACTTTCTTTCGAGTCTTTGAAAGACTTACTTTAATGCACTTTTTAAGCAAGACCGAACAAAGCCGCTTGTTCTTTTTCGGATTGCTCGTCGGAATCCGAAACAAAACGATCAAGCATTATAAAGTCGACGAACTCGACTTAGACTTTTATACCGCTTTCGACGACTTCGTTGCATTCGCTTTTAAGACCGACTAAAGTGCTAAGACTATCGAAGCTATAAATCGAGAAAAGTCTTTTTTAGCTAACTTTATTAAGGATATTCGGACCTTAGTTAAAGAACACATCGAGCTAGCTAGCGTTCTTGAGTCTGTTAAGAAAGCTTTAATAATAGTGCCGTTCACTCGTGAACTACGGTTTACGAATGAAAAAGAAGGAATTGACAAAGTAGGTTTTATAATTAAGAAGTTTTTTAACTTGCAAATCGGTGCGATTTATAATCGAATTGATTACTTCGAAGACTAAGTCGCTAACTTAACTTCCCGACGCTTTATTTAGTCTTAGCTTTAAGTTCGATTCGAAGATTACGACGAAGCTTTTATTAAGTATACCGCTTAAGATGCTCGAAGTAAGGTCAGCTTCGGAAATAGAATTCAGATTGCTATTGTCGGCTACGGATTATAAAGACGAGGAAAAAGAAGAAGTAAAAGATACGGGAACCAGATGCAAGATTATAGCTTCTACGAGAACTCCGAAGATATAACTTAAGCTCTTTATGTTGGATCGCCGGTAGCGATTTCTCGTAATAATTCGTAAAAGTCGTGACGTCGTCAAAGTACTTGCAATTGCAAAACACTCGGTGGTAAAATACTCAATTTGTTGCTTGTTTTTCTTCTTCTAAGAAAGCTGACTCCTTCTATACAATAGGAAGGAGTCACGTGTACTAGCTAAATACTAGGTTTACAAGCAGGTTAAGGGGGGTCCCCGGACCTGTGACAAGCTAAGCGAAGCATGCCTAGTGGCCCGTGAACCCTGGTTCACGAGTGAGCTCCCTCCCAACTACTAATTACTAGCTAAGGTCGATATAAATATACCGACACCGGCAAAACTTTCTTTGGCAAACAGTGCTTTGCCAACTATTATATCGACCGAAAAAAAAAAGTATTGAGTAGAAACATGAGATACAAGGAACAAAGTTCTTCCGCAAAGAATAAAAATTCAAACGCAAGGAACAAAGAAAAACTCTTCTTGAAACAAATCCCTTCCCTTTCCAAACCCCGTCACCTTGCGAAGTGCTCACAGTGCTCTCCTCCGTATTGGCAGCCTTGAATAAAACACTCGTACTCGTCCTTAAGGTCGTCGGAATCAGCCTTGCTTGAGGTGTGCTGAGAGGAGTGCTGAGGAGAGTGCTGAGGAGAGTGCTGATCGTGTGGCTCGCTAGAGCTCGCGTAAGCTCTACTCGTTTTGGCGGGAGGTCGGGAGGTCTCAGTTGCAAACGCAATAGCTTTGCGAATGTCGGCAACTGCGGCGGTAGAAGTAATTGCGGGGTTCATCCGTGCAATAATCGTCTTTGGCACGTTTTTACAAGCTGAATACAGCTTGTCAGCGAGACTCTTATCGTCCTTTAGACTTGGTCGTAGCGAGCTTTGAATGCTCTTGAGCTCCTTAGCGAGTTTTTCGAAGCACTCGTTAAGCGAGGTCCTTGGGTTCTCTTTTCTGACCAATTCTAGCGAAATTTCTTCTTATCGGTCGTATTTTGCTTGCCGCCGTTGGTCAGTCTCAAAATAGTCCCTTACTGCAATAGCGTTTGCTTTAAACGTCGGAAGCCTAGCCTTGATCACATGATTGTAATAGAAGGTTATAGCTTCTTTCGTGAGCATAATCGGGAACGCCGCTAAGTAGTCGTCGGAGGTTAAACCGTATCGACTTGCTTGGTCAGCGAAAATACTCAATTGGGTCTTGAAGTCGTCGTCGGGTCCCGAATACTTTAGTTCCTTAGGAAAGCTTTTTGCAAACAAGGCCAATTCCTTCGCTCTTGGGTGAGGGTCTGCTGCTCCTAGCTCAGGAAAATCGTCGTCGTCGTCAGGGGCTCCAGGAGTGCTGTAGGTGTTGGCTATCACTCGGGTCGAAAAAGGGGTGCCAGTAAGGGGTCGGTTTGGCCCAGGTTCGCCGGGGGGTTCGTATCCTCGTCCAGGGTCCCTTGGCGGCTCATTTTCTTGTCCAGGGTCCCTTGGCGGCTCATTTCCTTGTCCCCTTGTCGGGCCACCGTGTCCTCCTCCTCTTCTTCCGTGCCTATTCCACTCGTTTCCCCTTTTATTCCCTCTTTCTGGATCACCGTTCGAGCTATCTGGATCGCTAGGGTCGCCAGCAAGGGCTTGCTCCCTTTTCTGCTCGTATCCTTGGGCTCGGCCTTGGCGGTATCCATTGCCCTGGTCCTCCTCTCTCCGAATCTCTTCCTTAAGAGTATGCCCTCGGTAGGTTTGGGCTTCTTGCGGCTGGCGCAGTCGAGGACGAAGGTCTCCACGTTGTCCCTGGTGAGAGTAAAAATTGCCCGGAATCTCCTCAACCTTCAAGGGCTCGTCGTACTCTCTAGCGTGTTCCTTTGGTGACAAGATCGCTGGCTGAAGTAATAAAGGGACGGGAGAAGGAAGTGAATCGCGAGAACTGCGAGAACTGCGCCTTGATGATTGCTTTGCTGCCTTAGCTGCCTCGAGCTCTTCTTTATGCCTTGTAGCTTCCTCGATTCTCTCTTTACGCTATTGCGCGTCCCTCGTAATCGTCAAATTGCGTAGATCATCGAGGTCACGAGCAATAGCGTTATTTCGGCGCTGGAGTTCTTCGTTCCGTAGTATTTGCTTTTGAAGTTCCTCGTTTTCCTTTTCTCGGAGTGATTAGCGAAGCGAATTTGGAGTTGGAGGTGGAGGTGAAAGTGGAGCTTCGTCGATGATTTTAGTAAGACGAATAAGGCCTGATTGATCAGGAAACCTCTCGACCTGCTTGCCTTGAATTTTAGCAACTTCCTTAGTTTGTCGATTTAAGCGGGCGATTGTAATATCGTTCCACTTAGAATCAAATCCCTCGATTGATTGCTCTCGCTGTTCTTTCCAGGTCCATTGGTGCTCTTTCTCTATTTGAACGATTGAGGCTAGTCTATTAGCGTAGCCTCTTTGCCTTGGCAGGCACCAAACTCCCTTAGACATTAAGTGATCCCTTAGTCTAATAAGCAAGGTAAACTTGTTTCCTCGGCCGTGTGCTTGTTTGGCGGCCAACGAGAACTCGTTCGCGGTCTATCGAGCGAAAGCGTGTCGGAATAAAGACTAAAGCTCGTGGTCTCTTAAACCCTTACTCTTTATATCCAGGAAGTCCTCGATAATTAACCTTGCTTTTGTATGACTTTCTGGCTTCGAATACGGTAGTGAATCGAGGTCAAAACCGAGGTCCGACGCGTAATTATCGAGGTCTAGCGCGTCTCCGTCTGGTGCTTCGAGGGTATTCCGAGTGCCTGGATTGGGAGGTTGTGCCGGTGATCTAAAAAGAAGATCCGCACGCGTCGTAGAGATTCGAGGTGCTTGAATCCCTGTTGTTTGAGCTTTTGCTGACGTTCCAGAAGCTCCTTGTCTGCCACTCTCTCCGCCTTGGGGATCGATTGATTGCATGTTGCCGGGCTGAGGCGTAGTATTGTATGCTGTGTGTAGCTGGCGTGGCTCTACAGCGTTGATAGGTTGTATATAAGTGACTTGGTTCGGAATCACTCTTCCGTAGTAGGTGAGGTAAAGCGGTGGTATAAGAAAGCGACTTGGTACGGAATCGCTCTTCCGTGGAAAGGTGTAAAGGTATCGAAGTGTAAGAAAGCGACTTGGTACGGAATCGCTCTTCCGTTGTAAAGGAAAGGTATCGAGGTGTGAGAAAGCGACTTGGTACGGAATCGCTCTTCCGTTGTATAAGGAGGGAGGTATCGTAGTAAGAAGGTAAGTGATTTTCATTGCGGTTGCAGGTTTCTTATAGCGCAAACTCACCACTTCTACACTCTTCGAGTAAGTAGAAATAAAGTCCCAACTCTTCGATCGATCTTAGCTTCTCTGTGATTGAGTAATAAGCGATTAAACAATCACTGATCAGTGTTGGATCGCCGGTAGCGATCTCTCGTAATAATTCGTAAAAGTCGTGACGTCGTCAAAGTACTTGCAATTGCAAAACACTCGGTGGTAAAATACTCAATTTGTTGCTTGTTTTTCTTCTTCTAAGAAAGCTGACTCCTTCTATACAATAGGAAGGAGTCACGTGTACTAGCTAAATACTAGGTTTACAAGCAGGTTAAGGGGGGTCCCCGGACCTGTGACAAGCTAAGCGAAGCATGCCTAGTGGCCCGTGAACCCTGGTTCACGAGTGAGCTCCCTCCCAACTACTAATTACTAGCTAAGGTCGATATAAATATACCGACACTTTATTAATACCGAGATGAATATAAGGCCTTTAAAGATATAGTTAATAAAAGATGTATTCATATTAATAATTACGGACGCTTTTGCTTAAGACTTAAAAGGATCGGTGCTCTTATCATCTAAAAGAAGCAAAGAAAGACTTGGTTTAGATCTATCGTGCTAGACGTTCGTAAGACGGAATACGACAACATCTTGGAAAATCGACTTATTAGCGGACCTAGGACTTATAAACACTTGCTCTCTTATTAGCAACCAATCCAATAGCTAGCTTAGTATCAGCCCGATTAAAATGCTTAACAACTAACCAATTAGCTAAGAAAGCTTACTACTATCTTTAAAAGACCAGTCGATACTAAGAACATTAATGCTATAAGATAGATCAACACGCTTAACTACTTATTTAGCATAAAGGTTGCTTCGGTCGAGATCAACGCTGCCGTAAAAAACAAGGCTAAGAAGCTTTTCCCGCTTTCGAAAAGATTTAAATCTATTAAGATCAAGAAAAATGTCCGATAATAAAGAAAGAAGAACTACGGCACTTTTAAGGCTCGTGCTTCTTAAGAATCGGGTATTGCTGTAAAGATAGACTTAAAGGATAGGTTGTTCGATAGTATAATTAAAAAAAAGTCTTTTAGACTAGCTAAAGCCGACGAAGCTATAAAAGATGTAAAAAGAAAAGTTGAGATCACTTAGCGAGTGCTAAAAAGAAAGAAGAAGAAGACTTATAAACGAAAGAAGTTTATTAACCTTTACGTTATTATTAAAGCTTAAGAAAAAGCAATAGCGGCGATTATGAAATCGAGAATCGAAGTCTAAATTAAAGACTTGTTCGGACTTAGCTTTCGCTTCGACAAGCTATTAAGCTATTATATTTTAGTAGTTCTCGATGCTAAAGAAAACGTAAAGGTCTTTTAAAGTAAGCTTATTCTTGTAAACGCTTTAATTATTAAACGTTTAAGACGGAATAAAGAAAGCAAGTTAAACCTTTTAGCGACGCAAATTCGCAAACAACTCATCGCTTGCAATTGCTTTAAAGTAGCGATAAAGATCTTAAAGGTTTTCATCAATATCGACGGTATAATTAAAAGCAGATCCTTTTTCGATAGTAGATTTAAAGTTAACGTAATAAACAAAAAGGTGGCTAAAATAACTAAACTACTTATTATAACGGATCGAGCTTTAGTTTATACTACCGTGTCCGAAGATCTTTATAACTTCGATAAATAAATAAACGACGTCGAAATTATTATTAGCGGAATTATTAACTACGCCGATTTTTTTATTATCAACAATAACAATTACGAAGTTATCTTAAGCATGCTTTTCTTTTTAGAATCTTAACTTTTTTTTTTTACTTCGATAATAGCACGATAAAAGCTTCTTTTTAAAATTATAATCGATCTACTTAAAGCTAAATTATTATTGCAAAAGATAAGTCGGATTTAATCGAAGACCCGAGAAACTAATCGCTAGCATGCAAGTTAAAATAGATGTTAAGCTAAAAAGAAGCTTAAAAAGAAATTCCGCTTGTAAACTATAATTTACGAGTAGATCGGCATAAAAATTGTGACGACCTTAAGCGATTACCTGAAGGAACTCACGGGAGCGCGGGGTTCACATAAGAGCTCAAGAGAATCTTAAAGTAATGACTTAGAATCAACAACTACCGAGTATAAAAGTCGAAGGTAGCTGAGGTTTATATACACGAAGGTAGAAGCGCCAAGGACTCGTGAACCATGGTTCATAGGTCAAAAGCGGGGAATGAAAGAATACAAAGAATACGAAAAGAAAAAGGAAAGAAGTAGCTTAGCGCATATAAGGTGCGTCTAAGAGACTTGGCGTATCGTCACATTACCTCCCCGTCCGAAAAAAGCTCGTCCTCGAGCGTCTATCCATTGCTTTATCACTACTCAAGTGATCGTAGTCATCAATACCGTCCGAATAAGCCTTGATCCAGTCGAAGAGCTTCGCGAGAGGGCCGAGGAGCTCCTTGTGTTTTAAATAGAAGTCACGTACTTTGAAAAGAGCGTACATAAAGTCGGAGGCGAGGTACCAAGTAAAGTCAATATCGCGGCCGAGCTAAGAAGCGCAGTACTCGAAGTGCTTTTTAGTTTAACGCACGGCTAAGATGTTCTCTACTTCGTACTCAAGTTCGCTAATAATATTAATCGGGTCAGGTTCAAGAATGATTTGCTCGAAGGTAAGGTCATTAAGAGCTTTTCGTAGCCGTCCGAGATAGAAGACTAAGTGAACTTTCATTGACTCGAAGAGCTTGAGTTTGAAGCTGCTATAAACGTTGTCGGTAACCTCGAACGGTCCGTTCGTAAGGTTATCGAGCTTCTTTGATGGTCGAAAAGTAAAGAACGAGCGCATATCCAACCAAACCTTATCATTGACGTCGAAGTCAACCGAGCGCCTTGATTTATTAGCCTGTTTGGCCATGCGGTCTTAAGCGCGCTAAAGGTGCTTTCTAGCGAGGTTCCAAGCTTCGAGGTGGCGGTTGGCGTAAGCGCGAGCTTCGTCTTGATTGAGCTTGCGAAAAGGGGTTTGGTCGTCAAGTCGTTCCAAGCTCCAATTCCAAGTGGTCCGGAAGGCGTAGCCGTGAATTACCTTAAAAGGAGAAAGGCCGCCGAAGGAGTCGTGAAGGAGCGTCAATTGGGCGAAGTCCATTATAAAGAGGAACTCGCTCCAATCGTCTTGGTAGTAGCTCACGAAGGGACGGAAGCGCTTCTGCAAGTACTGGTTATAGATTTCGGTCTGACCGTCAGTCTCAAGGTGTGCGGCGGTGCTAAAGGTCAGTTTGGTACCGAGGATTTTATTGAATTCTTTCTAGAACTCAGACCAGTATTAAGGTTCTCTGTCAGAAGTCAGCGTTAAAAGAGCTCTAAAATACTTATAGATATGGTAGATATAAAGCTTGGCGAAGCTTCTAGCGTCGATGGACTTATGACAAGGGATCGAGATTGCTTGCTTAAAGAAGCGGTCGATTACTATAAGAACGTTATCGTAGCCGTGTTTGTCTTTATTAAAGCTACAAAAATCTATAGTGACGTGCTCTTAAGAGCGCGAAAGGATCGGGAGAGGTTAGAGCAAGCTAGGTTTCTTATCGCGAAGCACTGAAGCTCGTTTGCAAGCGTAGTAGTTGCGGCAATACTAGTTGACGAATCTAGCCATACCGTGCTAATAATACTATACTGCAAAGAGCTTATAAGTTTTGCGAAAGCTAAGGTGTGCCGTAAATACTTGGTCGTAGACTTCTCGGACGAGTAACGAGCGCAAGTTTTAAACGTCGAGAACCAATAAGCGGCCGTCATAAAGCAGCAAGTCGCCTTCTATAATGAGTTTGGCCCGTGAACCGTAGTTCACGAGTAAGGACTCAGCTCTAAAAGCTTGAATTCGAAGTGCTATGAAACTAAGAGCGGTCCGATTAGCTTCTAAGACTTGGTCAATAACTCGGAATATCGATAAAAGCTCCGCGATCTCTTCGATAGTGACGGCGGTCTCTAAAGGCGTAAGTTAGCGTAGCTCTTCGGTCAAGAGTCGTAGGTCAACGTTGTCGGCGCAGAGCAGCGTTTGCAAGCGTTAAGTGCGCTTAAGGCTGTTTTAAGAAAAGAGCTCTTCGGTGCGACGTATCAACGCGTCAGCCAAAGGGTTGTCTTTACCTGGTCTATACGTGATAATGAAGTTGTAATCGGAAAAGAGCTCTGCCCAGCGTGCTTGACGAGCGTTGAGAGTCTTAGAGGTCATGAAGTACTCTAAGGCCTTGTAGTCGGTGATTACCTAAACCTAGTAAAAAGAGCCGGCGAATTCGGCGCGGAAGTTACTAAAAGAGCGTATGATAGCCAGCATCTCTTTGTCGTAGACGACGTAGTTGAGCTCAGCGAGAGCCATGGTTTTGAAGTAGTAAGCGACTAGTAGCTAGTCGGAACTATGCTTTTAAGAGAGGACTAAAGCGACTACGCCGTCGGAAGCGTCAGTCTCTAGCATACAAAAGAGGTTTTGGTTGTAGTGCTGTAAGATTAGCGCAATAATCAAGGCGAGCTTCAAGAAGTCGAAGCTTCTTTGACATTAAGAATTGAATGAAAAAAGAACGTTAGCCTTAGTCAAGTGCATTAAAGGCTTCGCGATCACGCCGTAATCTCGAATGAATCGGCGGTAGAAGTTGCAAAATCCAAAGAAGCTTTAGACGCCTTTGACGGTCGTAAAAGGCGCCCAATGCTTTACTATCGACGTCTTATCCGGATCTACCTCTAGGCTTTCGGTAGAAATGATAAAGCCTAAGTATTTTACCTTAATTGTGCTGAATTCGCATTTTTTAATATCAGCCTAAAGGCCAACGTCGTCGAGTCGTTAAAGGACTTAGCGAACGTAGTAAGCGTGCTCTAAAGGGTCGGAAGAGTAGATCAAGATGTCGTCTAAATATGCCGTGCAAAAGATGTCTAAGAAGTCGAAGAGAAAGTCATTTATATAGCGTTAATAAATGGCGGGTCCATTAGTCAGTCCGAATAAGAGAACCTTGCACTTATAAGCACCGTAGCGTGTCCTGAATATTGTAAGCTCCTCTGAAGCTAGGTCCATCCGTATTCTGTGAAAGGCTTGCCGAATGTCGAGTTTCGTAAAGATTTTAGCTCTTGAAAGACGTGCGAAGGTCTCATCGATCAAAAAGAAAGGGTATCGATCTTTACGAGTGAGGTTGTTCAACGCGCGGAAGTCAATACAAAAGCGGAAAGAACCGTCTTGCTTCTTAGCAAACAAGACTAGAGCTGCAAATAGCGCTGTTAAGAGTTCGATAAAACCTTTGTTAAGATTGTCGATAAAGTAGGCTTTAATAAGCTCCAGCTCAAAGATCGACATCTTGTACAATAATGAGTACCGAAGCGCCTTCTCTCCCTCTTCGAGAAGCTCGATTTTGTAGTCGTAAGGCCTGTATAATGCTAGCACGTTGCTAGCGGCCTTAAAGAACACGTGTGCGTAATCGGAGTATTCGAAAAGGATAAAAGGGTCGTTAATAAGCTCTAACAGTTCCGCTGCAAAGTCAATAGCAAAGATAGAGCCGTTAATGAAGCGTGTCAGCGATGCTTAGTAGTCAGCTTAAATAGAAGCAATCGTCTAACGCTCGAAGATCAAGCAATCGAGCTCGTAAAAAGACGTAAAAAATAGTTCTACGTCTTTTTAGCAAGCGATCATATAGAAAGCGTATCCGAAGACGCCGTTGATTTTAAAGTTTCTATTGATTTTGTGCTTAGATGTTTAGCAAGAGCGTTTAACGAGTAAGAGAGGTTCTACGGAAGCGATGTCGGTTGACACAAGCTCACGGTTCATCTAAGACATTGATTTAACGTAGTCCTTAAAAAAAGTGTTTTTCGTAAAGCGAAAGAGTGACGGCTCTACGAAAAGGTGAATAAAAGAAAAGGGTTCAACGATCTTAGAAAAAGAAGCGGAAAGAAGACGATTCCGAAGAAAAGAAAGTGATTCAGCGATTATTATTGCTGCCTGATCCGCCCGTGAACTATAGTTCACGAGTGAATTAGCGTCGTAAGCTCTCCAAAGGCGGTCTAAAGCTCGATCACGCCTGTTAGCGTCGTGTTAATAACGAGCGTTTACTTTACGCTAATTAAAGTGTATAATCTCAATAGGTTTAGCGTAAGTAGCGGTCGGAAGGTTAGAACGAAGCTAATAAAGCTTGCGGCGAGCGCAGTCAAAGAGAATCTGGTGCTCAGCCAGCCATGCTCGTCCGAAGATCACGCTATGATTCCCAAGGTTAATAATAAGAAAAAGAGTAAAAGATTAAACGCGCTTGTCAACCGTAAAGTTGAGAAGTGCAAAATGTAAGATAATAGCTCCACGAGCTCCATTGTATGACTTGACAAAGAATAAGGCCGAGAAGAGTTAAATCAAAGGTTTAAGAAAAAAAAAAAGCGATTTGAATAGCGCTGAGTCAATCAGCGCGTACCCATTAGCTCCTGAATCGAGCAAAGCAGATACCTTGTACGAAAGGCCATTCTTAATGAAGGTGACGGGTATAATCATAGCTTTGCCACCAAGAAGCTTCGTAAGGTCGAGGTATCGCATATCTCGAAGCTAGCTTAAGAAAAAGGCTTTGCTTAAGCCTCGACGTTTCCCTTATTGTCGAGAGCGTCGGGGTCAGCAAGAAGGAGCTCCTGGTGATCCTCAAGAGCGTCGGAGTAAGGCCCATCGTCCGAGTCATCCGAATAAGGGCCGTATTCGAGTCCAGCGCCGTATTCTATCTCGTTGACTGAGTGGTGGCGAAGGAGCTTCGGCGTATTCGGGTCTTTGCGGGACGATCCAAGGGTTTTGATTGCTAACCTGAGAGCGTTTCCGAAAGAAAAGAATTTGTTAGATCGATTAGATCGATCTGCACCAGCGCCAAGGCTGTTGAAGGTTTAGCGCTGAAAGGTAAAGAAAGAGACGGAGGCTGAGCTACCTTAGCGGTTCTCGTAATAAGTGATTTGCTTGACCGCTGCTCTTTAAGCCGAGCGGGATTCGGTACGAGCTTTACTATAAAAGCTCTTCGCGAATTAAGTATTATACCTGGCCTATAGAGCATCGTAAAGCCTTGCAGACGCGTATTAGCCAGCAGCCAATTGTTGGACGGCGGTCTGAAAGTCCTTGAAGGTTGTAGTCTTAGCAAATTCCAAATGAAGCTGGTCGCGCAGCGTTTTAATAATCTTAAAACGCAAGGCCTCACGTAATCGGTCCTCGTCCTTGATTTCGGCGGTAGCGGCAAGCTCCGAGAAAACAAGGTAAAAGTCCCAAAATTGCTAGTTAAACCTTATATAGAGTTTTTCGAACTCAATTGACGCTTTGGCCTTCTCAGCGAGGTCGTTCAAGAACTCGAAGGCGATCTGGACGAGTTCCGAGGCGGTTACGAAGTTGCTACGATCCATGACCAAAAGGGCTAAGAACAGGTGGGCTATTCCTTCGGTTTAATCAAAGACGTAGTTCTTACGTTAGCGTTCTGTAAAAAAGTATTCTTCGAAAGCTTCCAAGTTGTCGAAAACGCGGGCTTGCCAGTGACGTGCTCGGTAGCTTACGCCGTCTAAGAGCTTCTGTTCAAGGTTAAGGATCCGCTCGATACGAGCGCGACCCTAAGAAGCTGAAGAAGAGGCTCTAAAGGTGTTGAACCTAGCTAAAGTGCGAAAGTTAGTTGGCCTGTAAAAAGAAGGTGGTTCATCGTCGTCGGCGAAAAGGCGGCGAAGGTTAGCGGTTCCATAAGTAAAAAGAGTGGCCTGGAGGACCGAGGGCCTATATAGCTCCTTGCCTTTAAAATTATCTTCGAAGGAAACTTAAAGAGGCTTTGACGAGCGTTCCGTAGTTAGCAAGACCGCTTAAAGCTGGTCCAGTTCCTTTCGAGCTCGACGAGCCTCTTTTTCAGCCCTTTCGGCGAAGGTTTTTTGTTCGCTAACGCTTTTATCGAGCTCCTCGTTGCGGGTTTTCATATCTGCAAAGAGCTTTCTGAGCTCAGCGGCCTCTCGTTAAGACTAGAAGAGAGCTTGATATTAGGCCAAAGCTTCCTCGAGGTTAGTAAAAGCCGAAGGATCATCTTCATCGTCTTGCTCACTAGTAGCTTCTTCTTAAATAAAAGGAACTGCTAGTTGAGCCGTAAAAGAGGAAGAGAGAGCTGCTAGAGCAGCTTTAAGAAGTATGCGGAAGATTTTGCCCGCGAAGCGAAAGTTGCTATATTATGTAAATGCCATCCTTCAAGTTGTACTTGGAATAAGCCTTCTCGTGACCGTTAAAGTCGTCTAAATGTTTTTTAACGTCCAACTACTAAGGAATTCTGAAGAGGAAGAATATTATTAAAGCCGTTCCCGGCGGAGTAAAGTAGTTGTTAATAATATAACGACCTTAAGCGATTACCTAAAAGAATTCACGAGAGCGCGGGGTTCACATAAGAGCTCAAGAGAATCTCAAAGTAATAACTTAGAATTAACAACTACCGAGTGTAAAAGTCGAAGGTAGCTAAAGTCTATATACACGAAGGTAAAAGCGCTAAGGACTCGTAAACCATGGTTCATAAGTCAAAAGCGGGGAATGAGAGAATACGAAGAATACGAAAGGAAAAAAGAGAGAAGTAGCTTGGCGCATGTAAGGTGCGTCCAAGAGACCTGGCGTGTCGTCACAAAAATAACAAAATCATAAAAAAACAATTCAACTTAATATTAAGCAAAGCTTATTAAAATCAAAAACATTAAAAATATTTATAATTAAACTCGATAAATCGGAAAATTTTATGTTTATTATCGATAACGATAAAGACCTTTTAAAAAGGAATGTAATAAAAGTTAATACGATATACAAAAGAAAAGCGGAGAAGGTTAAACCGGTAGATTTAAGAGTATCGGATAAAAAGATACTTAAAAAGATCGACGATTAGTTTAAGCAGAATAAGAAAGCAAGACCTTTTAAGCTTAAAAGATCTTTTTCAAAATACTTTATTAGCAGGTTTTTAAACTTAAAAGTTAGATTAAGATTAACGAAAAAACGATTCGAAGTACTTACGATTAGCTTTTAAGTCACTTCGAAAAAGAAAGAGCTGCTTTACTAATGCCTTTTGAATCGAAAAAAAGCGATAGCTTAAGATTTTATTTATTTTAGCTAAGTTCGAAAGGAAGTCATGCTACTTTAAAAAATTAAGACGGTGCTTTACGAAGCTTAATAAAAAAAAACGTTTATTATACCGAAGGCTTTGCAAAAGATAGTTATCTTTATGTTAAAAGAACGATTAAAGCAAAAGGTCTTCGAACTATATTAAAACTTTTATCGGAACAAGTGGTTTATTATAGCAAAGAAAAAGAAAAGAAAATACAAGCTGATTACTATTGTAATTAAGATAAACCGTATGACGGTTAAAAACGTTAATGTTGCTTCGAACGTAAATTAGTTCTCGAACGAATTTGCCGGTTTTACGATAGCTACACTTTTAAACTTCTTTTTTAAATACGATTAATTCTTTTTCGACGTTAAGTTTAAAGACATAACAGCTATTTAAACGCTTATCGGACTGCTTCGGATAACTCGAATACTTATAAAAGCTATTAATTCGATCGCTTAATTCGTTAAAGTTATTTATAAGATCTTTATAAACTATATTCTTAACGTTTGCTTGCTTTATATAAATGACGTAAGAGTTAAAAGATCGCGATCTTTTTATAATTACGAAGAAGTTTTGCTCGGAATTCGGCGATTTGTTTTAAAATATATTTAAAACATTAATAAGGTGCTCGTAAAGTTTAAAAGAGCTAAGACGACCGTCGGAATTAAGTCTTAATACTGCATGCTCGGCCTTAATATCGTTAAATTCGTTACGGATAGCGAAGGACGCTACTCTTAAACCGTTAAAATTAAGAAGATATTAAAATAGACTAAATACGAAGATGTATCGAAAGCTCGAGCTTTTATTAAGATCGTAATTTATTATAGAATCTAGATTAAAAACTTCTTTACAATTGCTGCTTTAATTTACGCGATTATAAGAAAAAGGGTCGAATTCGAATAATTAAAGCTTTAGCAAGAAGCGATAAGGCTGCTTAAAGAAGCTTTGCTTTTTGCCTTCGCTTTTATTAAGATCGATTATAGCAAAAACGAAAAGAAAATTTACTTAACGGTAAACGCTAGTCTTAAAAGATAAAAAGTAGTATTGCAGTAAGAAGATTTCGATAAAAAGCGATATTTTGTTAAGTTCGAGAATAATCTTTAAAACTTTACGGAGAACAAGTACGACGCGATTAAACGAAAATGCCGCGGTGTTTTAAAAGCTATAAAAAAGATAAAAAACGAACTATACGAAGTTCACTTCATCTTAGAAACCGACGCTAAAGTATTAATTAATTAACTTAACGGATTAGCGAGCGATTTGCTTAAAGCTTTCGTTACGAATTAGATTGCATAAATAAGATTAATAGACTTTAAAGTTAAGTATATCTTTAAAACTAAAAACATAGCGGCGGACGGTCTTTTTAAAAAAAGAAAAGAGCATCTTTTAAATATCAAAGAAAGAAAAGAAAAAGATATTAATAATTAAGTTATTAACGAGCTAAGCATTATTTTAATATTCTCGATTAAACGACTCGTGAATTATAATTCACGAGCTAAAAAAAGAGTTTTAAAACACGATTACTCGCTCGACTTTAAGCTTATTGCTTAATTCTTTACTACTTTTAAACGCTTTTCTTCGATCAAGACTTACGACTTTTAAAAGTTTAAAAACAAAGCACTTAACTACTTGATTAAAGATAGTTACTTTTACAAGCGAGTAAACAATTCTTATTCGATTAAGCTAGTTGTCGACGGAACTTAAAGACGTTATATTGCTATTGCCGACGCTTATCGAAAATCCGGATATAAAAGAGTTAAATCAACTTATTACCGCACGTTAAAACTCTTTTTTTAAAATAAATGCTACGAAAACTGCAAAGCCTTCGTTTAAAACTATGAGCCTTATCAAAAACGCAAAGCTAAACGAATAGAAAACCTTTTATACTCGACTTAGCTTACTTAAATATAGTTAAAAGTCAGCTTAAACGTATTACGAGTACTTACCACCGACAAAAGGATAACTTGCTTCGTATTAATTAAAGAAGATCTATTTAAATAGCTAGAAAAGCGATTACTTCGATCAGCTAACGCCGAATCTATTGCTAAGTTCTTTTAAAAAGATATCGTTTGCCGCTATAGATTATTCGAAAGACTAACTATCGATAAAAGACTCGAGAACAAAACAATTGCTAAGGCCTTCGCTATTAAGTACGAGATCAAAAGGGTTTAAATCTCGAGCTATAATTCAAAAGCTAATAGAATAATTAAGAAAAGACATAAAGATATCTTGGATAGCTTATCGAAAGTCATAAACGAAAGATTTAAAAATTAAGTTCGCAAATTCAATAAGATGCTCTTTGCGGTCCGGACATCGATACACGTACTTACTAGAGTTACCTTCTTCTTCTTAAACTACGGACGAGAAGCTAAGCTACTTTTAAAGTTACGATAGCTAGTTTAAAAGTTACTACTATAGCAAGAGATTCGATCTCGCGCTGACTTGCTTGCTATAAGGTTTAAATAATTAAAACTTTAAGACGAAGATATCGACGAGATCATCTTAAAGAAGAAACGCTATCGACTTGCCGTTAAAGCCACTTAAGAACGAATCAAAGTCTTAAAGTCGGAATGTCGGTATATTTATATCGACCTTAGCTAGTAAATAGTAGTTGGGGGGAGCTCACTCGTAAACCAAGGTTCACGGGCCACTAGGCATGCCTCGCTTAGCCTGTCACAGGTCAAGGGGCCCCCCAACCTGCTTGTAAACCTAGTATTTAGTTAGTACACGTGACTCCTTCCTATTGTATAGAAGGAGTCAGCTTTCTTAGAGCAGATCAATCAACCAAATCAAGAAGAACAACAAGCAACAATTAAGTATTTTTTACTACCGAGTGTTTTGCAATTGCAAGTACTTTGACGACGTCACGACTTTTACGAATATTACGAGAGATCGCTACCGGCGATCCAACACTGATCAGTGATTGTTTAATCGCTAGAGCATTACTCAATCATAGAGAAGCTAAGATCGATCGAAGAGTTGGGACTTTACTTTTACTTACTCGAAGAGTGTAGAAGTGGTGAGTTTGCGCTATAAGAAACCTGCAATCGCAGTGAAAATCACTTACTTTTTATTACGATATCTTTCCTTTATAACGAAAGAGCGATTCCGTACCAAGTCGCTTTCTTACACCTCGATACTTTTACACCTTTCTACGGAAGAGCGATTCCGTACTAAGTCGCTTTCTTACACTTCGAATACCTCATTTACTACGGAAGAGTGATTCCGAATTAAGTCACTTATATACAACCTTATCAACGCTGTAGAGCTACGCTAGCTACACATAGCATACAATACTACGCTTCGACGCCCGGCAACATGCAATCAATCGACCCTTGAGGCAGACAAGAAGCTTCTAGAACGTTAGCAAGAGCTACGGACCTTTTTTCGAGACCCGCGGAACTTCTTTCAATGCTACCGAACGACCTAGGCACTCAAACTACTTTCGACGATACAAACGAAGATACGTCGGACCTCGGTTTTGACTTCGATTTACTACCGTATCTAAGGCTAGAGAATCATACAAGAGCAAGGTTAATTATCGAGGACTTCCTGGATATAAAGAGTGAAGGATTAAGAGACCACGAGCTTTGGTCTTTGTTTCGATACGCGTTTACTAAATGGACCGCGGACGAGTTTTCGTTGGCCGCTAGATAAGCACACGGCCGGGGAAACAAGTTCACATTGCTTATTAGATTAAGGGATCACTTAATGTTTAAAGGAGTTTAGTGCCTCTTAAGGCAAAGAGGCTACGCTAATAGACTAGCCTTAATTATTCAAATAGAGAAGGAGCATTAATGGACTTAGGAAGAACAGCGAAAGCAGTCAATCGAGGGATTTGATTTTAAGTAAAACGATATTATTATTGCACGCTTTAATCGACAAATTAAAGAAGTCGCTAAAATTCAAGGTAAACAGGTCGAGAGGTTTCTTGATTAATTAGGCCTTATTCGTCTTACTAGAATCATCGACGAACCTCTACTTCTTACTCTTACTCGTTTTATTAGAATTATCGACGAACCTCTACCTCCGACTTTAAATTCGCTTCGCTAATTACTTCGAAAAGAATACGAAGAGCTCCGACGCTAAAAAGACGCTATTGCGCGAGACCTCGATGATCTACGCAATTTGATAATTACGAGGGACGTGCAATAGCGTAAAAAGAGAATTAAGGAGGCTACAAGGTACAAGGAGGAGCTCGAGGCAGCTAAAGCAGCAAGGCAATCATCAAGGCGAAGTTCTCGCGATTTACTTCCTTCTTCCGTTCCTTTGTTACTTCAGCTAGCGATTTTGTTACTTAAAGAATGCGCTGAAAAGCAGCAAGACTAAGGCAATGGATACCGCTAAGGCCGAGCCTAAGGATACGAGCAGAAAAGAGAGCAAGCTTTTGCTAGCGACCTTAGCGATCCAGATAGCTCGGACGGTGATCTAGAAGGAGGGAATAAAAGGGGAAACGAATGGAATGGGCACGGAAGAAGAGGAAGAGGACACGGTGGCCCGACAAGGGGACAAGGAAATGAGACGCCAAGGGACCTTGGACGAGGATACGAGCCTCTCGGCGGACCCGGGCTAAACCGACCTTTTATCAACACTCTTTTTTCGACCCGAGTAATAGCCAGGCACACTTACGGCACTCCGAGAGCCCTTGACGACGACGACGATTTTCTTGAGCTCGGAACGACGGACCCTCACCTAAGAGCAAAAGAATTGGCTTTGTTTGCGAGAAGTTTTCTTAAGGAACTGAAGTATTCGGGACTCGACGATGACTTTAACACTTAATTAAGGATTTTTGCTGATCAAGCAAGTCGATACGGTTTGACCTCCGACGACTATTTAGCGGCGTTCTCGATTATGCTTATAAAGGAAGCTATAACCTTTTATTATAATTACGTTATCAAGGCTAGACTTCCGACTTTCAAAGCAAACGCTATTGCGGTAAAGGACCACTTCGAGACTGACTACCGGCGGTAAGCAAAATACGACCGCTAAGAGCAAATTTCGCTAGAATTGGTTAGAAAAGAAAATCCAAGGACCTCGCTTAGCGAGTGCTTCGAAAAACTCGTTAAAGAGCTTAAGGGCATTTAAAGCTCGCTACGACCAGGTCTGAAGGACGATAAAAGTCTCGCTGACAAGCTGTATTCAGCTTGTAAAAACGTGCTAAAGACGACTATTGCGCGAATGAACCTTGCTTCTACCTTTACCGCCGCAGTTGCTGACATTCGCCGAGCAATTGGTTTTGCAACTGAGATCATTCAACCTCTTAAGAGTGAGAGCTATCGACCCGCTAAAGCAAGCAGAGCTTACGCGAGCTCTAGCGAGCCATTTGCTCAGCATTCCTCTCAGCACTCCTTTCAGCACTCTTCTTAGCACTCTTCTCAGCACTCTCTTTAGCACTCCCTTCAGCACTCCTTTCAGCACCCCTCTCAGCACTCTTCTTAGCACTCTCTTCAGCATTCCTCTTACACCTCAGGAAAGGCTGATTCCGACGACCTTGAGGACGAGTACGAGTGCTTTATTCAAGGCTGCCAATACGGAGGAGAGCACTGTGAACACTTCGCAAGGTGACGGGTTTTTTAGAAGAAAGGGGGCCTGTTTCAAGAAGAAATTTTCTTTGTTCTTTGCGTTTGAATTTTTTTTAATTGTTCTTTATTTATTACCTTCTTTTTTTCGGTCGATATAATAGTTGGCAAAGCATTGTTTGCTAAAGAAAGTTTTGCCGGTGTCGGTATATTTATATCGACCTTAGCTAGTAAATAGTAGTTGGGGGGAGCTTACTCGTAAACCAAGGTTCACGGGCCACTAGGCATGCCTCGCTTAGCCTGTCACAGGTCAAGGGGCCCCCCAACCTGCTTGTAAACCTAGTATTTAGTTAGTACACGTGACTCCTTCTTATTGTATAGAAGGAGTCAGCTTTCTTAGAGCAGATCAATCAACCAAATCAAGAAGAACAACAAGCAACAATTGAGTATTTTTTACCACCGAGTGTTTTGCAATTGCAAGTACTTTGACGACGTCACGACTTTTACGAATATTACGAGAGATCGCTACCGGCGATCCAACACGGAACTTATTAAAAAGAAAGATCTAATACTTTTTTACGACGTTAAACGAAGCATCGATATATCCGCAGATACTAAGCTAGACTATAAATGGCTAAGACCTTATATCGTCTTTAAAGCTTACGACAAAGAATACTATAAACTCTAAGAAACCGATAAGACTAAGCTCAAAAGCACTTTTGCAGCTAACCGCTTTAAACGATTTTATCGCCGCGATTAAACCTTCTTTCTTTTTAATAAGGACGACGAAGAAGAAAAAGAAGACGATTCGAGCTTTTTAGACGACTCGGACCTTAACGAATACGAGCCTTTCGACGACGGCAAAGATAAACTATTTAACTTAAAAGTGATCTTTAGACTTAGATCTATTAACTTTTAAATCATTTTTTTAACACTTTCGAAAAAACAAAAATTAGCTTACAAAACTGTTTCTTAGTCTATTCCTTTACTTTTGTTTTCTTACTTTCCTATCCTTTCTTTGTTTTACACCTATTCTATAAAAGGACGTGCTTTTAATAATCACTTTCTTTATTTTAATAAAGAAAGGTATTTCTTACGTTTGTTTTTTTACTTTTAGACTTACCTTTCATTGTATTCTTTGTTTTTTTTCCTTATTCCTTTTATCTTACTAGCTATTTATTATCTTACACAAATTGTTCTTATTGTTTAATTGTTTTTCACTTGTTTAGGCTTACACGGCTATTTCTTATTTCTTATTTAAGACTGTTCCTTTGTTTTAAGCGTACTTAATTACGTATATTCGAAAGTGAACTGCTGTTAAGAAGAGTAGGTCTTCTTTATAAATGTACTTATATAAAAAAGCTCTTCTTTCTTTCTTTTCAACATTTTTTCTTTTTATATAACAACAATTATACTACTACTACTCTTCGACTTCACAACTATATAATATTATATTAATACTAACGACTTTAATCATTACTTAATCGATCACTATTATTATCAGTTCTATTCCGCTATCTTATATTTAATTCGTAAACCGTAGTTTACGAGTCAAATATGCCTTTTAAATTAGCCGCCGTTAAAGGAAAAGCTTTTGTCCGTGATGCACTTTTTAGCTTACTAATAAGCGAAGAGCAAGTTGCTTTAGTTTGATAATTAAGTTTCGAACTGAAGTTCGAAAGACGAGTTATTAAGACTTTCGATGAGTTCTTTTAAACTTACTATTAAATAAGCAACTCTAGTTAATTAGCTATGCTTAAAATAGCAACCTTCGACTTTAATAACAGATTAAATAAAGAAGATAACTTGATCTTATAATACGATTAATTTTTGCGAGCCGAATGCGTAAAAAAAAATATAAACGCCGAAGACTTCTTTTCGGCTTACGATTAGTTTACTATTAAAGTCATCGCTATTTATTTTTTACGTAATAAAAACGCCGAAAGATATAAACGAATCAAGAGAGCTTTTGACGGCGCTCGAAGCTAATTGCTATATAACGACTACTTTAAGGCTGTATGCATTTCAATCCGCAGCGCTCGCTAATTGAGCGTTATTCTAAAGAATTGCACTTTTAACGCTTACGTTATTCAAGTCATCAATTATTATATTATTGCTTACGTCGCTTTCTAAAAGACTATAGCTAATATAGCTCGAGGACGTAAGTTTATTAAGCTTAATGCTACGGTAATCAACTTTATTTATTAAATCGTAAAAGATAAAAACAATACTAAGTAAAAAGATAAGATCGCTATTTTTAACGAAAGACTCTTGAAGAAGCTAAGACTAGAAGTCTTATTATATAACTTGTTGATTTTAGCTTTCGATAATATTAAGAGCGAATACGACGAGTTTAAAAAACGTATAGAGTTTACCGACGAGAATTAAACTTAGAATTTCGTTTTATAAAAAGAACTCGGATCCGAAACTTTATTTGTAAATTATAGTTTACGAGTAAAAGATAACTTAACAATTAAAGCAAGATTAAGTTAACTTTTTACTTTTAAAACCTTTTTGCTTAGATCACTTATTGCGCGCTTTTCGCTGTTATTAGCTTTGTTTTAAAAATCGACGTCATCTTTTATTAATAAAGCTCCGAACGTTAAATTAATTGCTTCGATTATATCTACTTTACGCAAGTCTACCGACGCGAGCTTTTTTACAGCTTTTGCATTCGAAGTGCAACGCGACCTTTTCGAGAATTAACTATTATTAGTATTACTCGTTAAAGAAAGAGACAGCTTCGAGTACGAACTAGCTAAAGCTATATCGAACCGCTGCTTAAGACTCGTCGAGATTAAAGACTTTATAAGTATAAACATAGCTTTTATTAACTTTTGCTAAGACTTTTATTAATTAGCTTTCGATCGCTTGAACTTAAACGAGAATATCGATAATGCTTTTTAAATTGCTGCGGAATCGATTAAGAAAGCTATTAGCTAGATCCGTAAGCTTTTAAAAGACGAATTTTTTAATAACGCGATCTTACGACTTTTCGACCGTCGTAATTAAGTAAAGGTAAATAAGAAAAAGAGTAAAGTAATAAACTACTTCTTGCTGTCCGAGATCTTTAATTTAAGCTTTAATAACGACGATTGCGATTGCATAAGAGTCTTTTAAAAAGTAAAGAACGTATTAGAATTTAAAGATAGATTTAAAGAACTTTTTAACTTAAACGTTTAAACGAAGCTCCGTTTTAGCCGTAAAGTCTTATCGTCCGCTACCGACTTATTAAAAAAAGTCTTTTGCGAAGTCTATACCTTCGAATACGTTAAATACTTTAAGCTAGCTACGAAAAGCTTTATAATAATAATGATCCGTTTTAATTTGTGTCGATTTATCGAAGCTTTTTAAATCAACGCTTTTAATAACTTTATACTTTATTCGAGCAATTAATCGATGTTCGTTATTAAAATTAAAAGCAGTACTTTAGCTAAAAAAATGTTTAGCTTAAGCTCTTTTAAGTTTAAAGCTAAGCCGATATCTTTTAATAAGCTAAACTAAAACACTAGCTTGATAAGCACCGCTTAAAAGAACAGCTTTCTTAACACTTTAGATGCGAATAACTATACGAAAGTTTAGCTTATATTAAAAGCTTTCTTCTTGAATAACAAGTACGGCAATTAGACCTTCTTTACTATTATAAATAAAAAGATCTAGATGTACTTCTATTACTTTCGGACTAATGACTTAAAAAGAGCTTCGACTAATGCATTCTTTAATATAGTACACTCTTTAACCTAGCAAGTCTTCCGAAGCTATTATAAGCTATACTTTGCTGCTTTGCTTAATCGCCGAGACGGAAACTATAAGCTTATCGCTTACTCGGAACCCTTTTAGCTTTTTAAATGTAATAATAATGCTCGAATGATTACGATTAAATACAACGTTAATATTAAACGATCCGTGAACCGTGATTCACGAGTAGAAAACAAAGTTTTAAACTATTACTTAATGCTTTACGGCGTAAAAAGTCAGATCGGAAGCTTAAGTATTTAGCTTAAGAGCTATACTTACGATATTACTTTTAAAAAGACCGTTAAATAAAAAGCTTTTAAATTTAAGTCGAAGACTTTAAATGCTTTTAAAAATATTGCGTTACGCTAACCTTTCGCTATAGTTATAGATCTCGCTACTTTTATATCCGTTATTACGAAACAAAATGTTTTCTTAAATATAAACGCTTTTTAAAATTCTTTTTACGAATAAGCTATCTTTTTTAACAATTACATCGCTTTGTTGAACGATAGCACTTTAGAAAATAGCGTTAGCTTTATAAAGCACGCTTATACTATCGTTTTAAAACGCATGCCGCTAACCTTTCGGTAAAGAGTCATTAATAAATCAAGCTAGCCTTTCGCTGCTATAATCTAGCTAGATTACGTCAGTTTCGTATTAAAAGCTTTGATCGAAAGAATAAATTAAAACGAACTTCGAGTAATAAAAGAATTGATTGTTATCTTTGCTATGTCTTAAACTTAGTTTTAAAAACACTTTATTAAGCATAAGAAAAAGTTGTTTTCGGCATTTAGAAAAAGATTTGCTATTATGCTAGATGCGGAAGCTAAGACTTACGAAGCCAAGTCTTTTTCTAAAGGTAAGAGCCGCTGAGCTAACGATTTTATAGACGCCGACAAGTTAAAGGATTTTAAAAAGAGCTTGCGACCGATTGAATTGTCTTTTAACGACTTCGATTTAAGTGTAAAGATTAATCTAGAAAGTGCGAAATCTATTCGTAAACTACGGTTTACGAGCTAAATCGACGATTTTAAAGCATTATCTTCTTAGCCGGAATCCTTAAACCGCGCATTCGATAAAGCTATAGAAGCTTTAGATGACTTGCTCGAAGACGAAGACGACTTTAATAGCTTTAGATTTTATTTTAGCTTCGTTAACTTTCCGTCGGCTAAGTTCACACTTATTAACGATGCTATTAATAAGCGCAAAAACGATACGCGCTCTTTCACTCTTAAGGATGCTGCTATTAGCACGTTATCGTCTAATGTTAGCCTTGCTAAAAAAAGAAGACCTTCTTAGCTTAAGAAGAACGAAAGAGTTAAGGACGTAAGCACGAAAAGAGACTATAAAGAAGCTGCTAAAGCGTAGTTTAAATGTTTAAATGTTTAGATGTTTAGAGTTTAAAGACAAGATACCCTTTTATTATATACTAGATTTTTTCTTTTTCTTTTACACCCTTTTTTTTTCTTTTTGCTTGATAGTAAGCGGGAGCGCTTACTTATTTTATAAAGAGACGGATATTGTGGTAGAGTTGGGGCTCTGTATTTGTTTTGTCCATGTATATAATACTGATGCTAAGCACCTTTGTCACGTGGGTGCGCTGCATGCTCTGGCCCTGCTAGGCACGTAGTTAGGTCACGTGCAGGCTCCTATATAAACGAGTAGTTAATTCCTCCCTGAACCAGCACCACATCATATCACACACAATACAATACACGTTCTTACAGCACACATTCGAGTGTCCTTCGATCGTCCTTCTTTTCCCCCCTTATTCACCTACGATTCTATCATAGTTATATTCATATACATCTCTTGATTTGACGTTAAGTATATGTCGGAGCTCTTCCCTTTCACATATATTTAGTGACTTACGCAAGGAATCGAATTAAAGGTTGGTCTTCATACCCTTTTTAGACTTGCTTCTTTTGCGAGAAGCTATATATTCGGAGTTCACGTCACACGTTAAGCTATTGACTATATGCTTTTGCGGTACTCCTTCGAAGAGTATTCGACATACGCTAAGCCAATAGTCAAGTGCTTTTGCATATGAACTTCGAGGCTATTGCTTTAAAAGCGATCTTCTTTCGATTTGTGTCCGTCGAGCATGCTATTCGGTATACTCGATAAGTACCACTTAAGAAGTCGTTACTTTAATTCGAGAATCGAGCTAGCTAAAGTTCAATTCGATATCTACAAAGTACTATTCACTTAGACCACTTTGCACGGCGATACGCTCGAAGTACTATTCGTTTAGTATACTTCACCCTTTCGATTCAACATCGATTCTAATACGAGTTTACTGCTCTTTCTTCCTTAGAAGAGTAAGCAGTAGCTAAGTACCGGAAATACCACGCCAAGCCTAAAAGGTTGAAAATTCAACACTTACTTCGCAACGGAGATTACGCATAAAGACCTCGAATTGCTTTCGGTCATCCTTCGCTTCGGCAGATAAAAGATACGACGAACGGAAATAAGTGTTTGCAATTCGGAACCGTTTCGGTGTCGCATTATACTAAAAGCAAGCTATATGCTTGCACGAAAGCTCGGCTATTACCCGACCTCGTTTCCATTTCGATACACTTAATCTCGACAATTACTCTTCCGCTTATTACGGATCTTACGTTATAAAGTTAAACGTATCACCAATATCTATTGTATCGACTTGGTTTCGACTATTTAGCTCGAAACGATCGACACCCGACTCTTTAATGAATCACTTTCGACGCATCGGGATCTTATATCTTTACAACATTTCTTTATGTATCTAACATTCATTACAAATTATACTTATTTCATTTTTATTATTCATTTACGTTCATATTTACATCATTCTCGTTCCTTTTTCGCATCCGTTTCGAAACACCTTTATACCCTAATCGACATCTATCAACTCAACTTAGCGGGCCTACGTTAAAGCTCTCGGAAATCAAAAAGAGCTATGACTTCTTCGACTCAAAAGGATTTCGGACTTAGCGGAGATACTACTCGCAAGCTAACCGAAAACGAAGTGAAAAGGATTCAAGCCCTCTTACCCTTCGTAAATGCCCCGAATTACGTAAGTATCCGTAGACCTCTCCTTAGACTTAAAGCCCCGAGAATGCTTGCTTTCGATAAAGCTAACATCACGGACCACATTCGCTAGCTCGAACGAGCGTTTAAAGACTACGGTATCGTTACCGATTCGGAGAAAAAGCAATGCCTTACTAAGTATAATATCTTTGGCCCTTTCGGTTATAACATACGTTGCAATATCGAAAGCCTCGGCGGCTTTTCGGATCCGAAAATGATTTAGGACGACTTCAAATCGATGGTCAAAGAGGAGTATAAGGCTTTCGACCTAGCTAAGTGAAAAGATAATATTAGCTTCTTGAACGACTTAAGCAATAAGTGGATAGCAAAAGAAAGAGCCTCTAAGGCGGAGCTTCTACAGTTCACCCGCCAGTTCAACTTTACGAGCCTTGCTTGCCTCGCTAATAGAAATATTACCGACAAGTAGTTAAAGTGAAAGTTCTTCGATTGCTTACCACTATCGATGCAGAATCGGACTTAAAAGAACGTCAAACCTAAAGAAGATCACTTGCAAACGTATAACATAATATATACTATAGTTAGCGACCTAATCAAGCAAGAACAAATCACTGCGGAACGGATCAAAGAATACGGCTACGCAAAGATCCCTGAGGCTTTTTCTCGCTATAACCCTTATTAAAACGAGAACTCTCGTCCTTAAGTACCGTCTGTCATTCCCGAGAGCAAGCGGAACCCATACGTTTCGCTCCTTTATAGCACTTACTCCGATAGTACCTATCCCTCTCCTTCTCACCGCGCAAGCATTACCGCTACGAGTTCGATTACCCCGTTCATCGATCCTGACCCAAAGATCGAAGCCCTTACGGAACAGCTAGCGAAAGTTAGTATTCACTTAAGACTTACCGACAGCTTCGCTCCCGTACCGAAAGAAGCTTATATAAACCTATTAAAAGCTGCTCAATATAAAGAGACTTAAAAGATCGCATTGCACCGAGTCTACGAGATCAATACGGCCGATACTTATTCGAACCGAAGCTACGCCATATCGAAAAAGAAACGGTCCTTAAACGATTCCAACTGCATTTTCTATTAATGCTAGCAGACTTCTGACTTACTTGGCTATTAACAAAAGCCTTACAAATATCAAAATCAATGCCACTTATTTATGCTCTAATACGAGCTAGCTTTTTACTTCAACGAAGCGGACTTGATATGTATAAAACCGTACCGAAGAAAAATACCTTCGATCTCGTTTCAATTCCGAAACGACACCCTTAAGTACGAGCAAGTTCTAAAAAAGGTTCGTAAAACAATAAATGATCTTAATCTTAAGCGTCGTTATAAAGCTTTAAAAGCATAACGAGAATCTATTAAAAAAGCTGCACGAGAACGCGCTAAAGCACTTATTCGAACAGCTAACGGCGGCAATGCGAAGGCTTTTCGTATTAACGACTTTAATACTTCGGACATAATTCGCTAACGATGCATTACATCAGCGGATTCATATGCCCGCGTGTTTAATACAAAAGCTACTATTGCACCGGTAAAGACTCGAGCGCGCAACGCGGCCTCTCGAGTTACGCTATACTCGCTAAAGAACGCTCTTTTAACAAAAGCAAAAGTCCAATCCACTTATAACCAGCTTAAGATTACTTTCGCTAAACTAATAGAAATAAATAAACCCGAGCCCGCTTACACCGCGATTCTCAATCGAAACGCCTCACGACCGGAAGACTTACGGAATCTGCCCGTCACACTACTAAAGGCTCTTAAGGTTGCACTTAAGCTTAAGGCCAAGCCTTCTAAGACTGCCAAATCATACGAAAGACTTAGCAAAGTGATCTCTTCCTTAAGAATAGACTACGAAGCGACTCGTATTAAGCTCTTAAAAAGGCGCGATTTGCTAAGGAACCTAACTCTTAGTAAAACTATTGCGTTCTTCGCTGCTCCTTCTACTTTTAAACGATCTTCTTCCGAAGGTATGATCGATAAGATAATTTAGCAAACCCTTATCAGCGAAAGCGCTATTAACTGCTTTTAAGCTACGGTTAGCGTTGCGGAAGCCTCGGAAGATTGCTTGATCATAAGTAGCAAGCTTATACCGAGAGCGACGGATGATCCGGTAAAAGACGGACCTGCTTCGAGGCTTTAGCGGCCTATTCAAAAAGAAAGTAATATCTCTTCATCTAGTAGTGATCTATTTTACAAAGTAACGAGTCGCTTTATCGGTGAAGCGCCTTATCGCAGAAATTTACCCCTTCTTCTTTCTTTTGCTACTTCGACTCACGGCCGAACCACCGGTAAAGCAGACTTTACACAGGTTTTTGCTCGACTAAGACGGATCTTACACAAAGATACTATTGCTTAGCGGTCTTAGCTTGGACGCTTATTCGAATTCTCTTAAATGACTAAGCCTCAATTGCAAAAGAACATCCGTAGCAGCCAAACTAAGCACCGCCGACGCAATACGCTTCTTGCACCCGAATCTCTTTCGATTTAAAAACGGTTCTGCTCTATTCTTATTATCGGCCTTATTTCGACTCTCTTTACAGCTATATTCTACGGTGTTTTCTAGTTCTAACATCTCCTTCTCGACTGGTTTACTCGTAAGGATCGGCGTACTTTGCGGACTACAAACGAAAGTAATACAAAACCTTTTTCGGCGGAAATCGGCCTTGCTTCGACGTTTAGCTAGCTATTCTCTAGATACTCTTATTATCATTCGCCAACTCTTAAAGTCATTATCAGTATACTCGAATAGTCCTTAATCATTAATGCGCGAGCTACACTCGATACAAGTGCAAAAGTTAACGTTATTACTTACGACGCCGCGGTTAAATTCGAAGTCCTTATAACCTACGACTAAAAGATAAGCCTCCGAACAATCACCGGTTCACTATCGCGCTTTATCGGATACGCCGACAACGTATCTATTAATATCAAAGGTGCTACGATCCGTACCCGATTCTACGTTATAGATTCGCTAAGGTTTCGACTCATACTTAATTACCTTTTCATACGCAAAGCAAGAATCGGTCTTCGATACCTTTCGGACCATAAAAGTGGCTTTATTATTGCGATGATTACTAATCTTTCTACGAGCTAAGTTACTCAAGCTAAAGTAAGCGATAAAACGAATCAATACGACGAAGCCGTCGATCGCTTAAAAGAGCAAAGTATCGGCTTTATCTACTACGATAAGTCTTCGAGTAGCAGCGGCAGCGACTCGGAAAACTAATAACCGGCCTCGTTAAAAGCGCCGAAGTCGATACATTAAAAGCTTCTTGCTTTTCGCTCAGTTTCGAGAGCGAAACGTTGTAGCATCGAAAGAAGGACGACTCTATTACTTAAAAGCAATTTATCGATGTTCTTGCTTCTACGGAATGCGATCCTTTAACAACTTGCTAAATAAATGCCGTTAGCACCGAAACCCTTATGACCCGTTGCTACGATCATATTAACTATTAAAATTCGACACTTTATCGAACCCGAAAAGAGATCTTTTCGAACTCGGCTAAAGTATTCGGTATATACAAGACCAAAGACAAAAAGATCAAGCTAGTTGACGAAGCAAACGGCGTAAGAGCAGCATCAAAAGGCAAGGTTGATTGGTATAAGCTATTAAAAGCTAAAGATACGCCATAAAAGCAAGTAAAAGAATACAAGCAATACCTCCTTCCGCGCATTGCCGACATACCAAGAGGCTCTCGAATCATACCCGAACGCATAGCGAACCTAGATGTCGGTAATACTTTACGGCCCAAAAAAAAAGACTTGTTTAAAAAGATAATGCTAAGCAAAGAAAAATCAATCGCATTCGCTTAGCAAGAGTGCGGTAAGTTCTACGACGACGTTTCACCACCGACTAAGCTCAAAACTATCTTACACACGGCTTAACAAGCTTTTAACTACTCGTGTCCGAAAGCCTTATAGCTTATTATTATCAAAATGCTCTAAGACAGGCTTGATAAAAGAGTCTTAAAGTACTGCGAAGGACCGTACCGAAATCAATAATTCCTAGTAGCTAAAAAGCAGCCGGGCCAGTACCGACTCATCAACTTAGCAACTCTACTTAATGCAATTACACGGAGAGATGCTAATCTACCCTTAACTATAGATAAGTTTGCTAAAGAGTTTTCTAGTTGCTAGATAGCTAGCTTAATCGACCTCTATTCAAGCTATGATTAGCAAATACTCTATCAATCGAGTAAAGACTTTACCGCTTTCTTCACACCGCTAAGTCTCTTCCGATGCACTACCCTTCCGCAAAGTGCTACAAACTCGGTGGCCCAATTCGTCCGAACAATCAATCTCATCTTAAGTCTTTTGCAACCTAAGGTCTTTATGCTATTTGTCGACGATATTAAAGTAAAAAGACTATAAACTAATTATTCCGACGAAGAAGCACTCTCGAGTATACGCCGATTCGTGCTCGAACACATCTAGAACATCGACAAAACCTTAAAACGGATTAAGCGCGCTAGTGCCACAATCGAAGAAAAGTCATAGTTCTGCCGAGATAAGATAAATGTAATAAGATTCGTATGCAATTCGAAAGGTCGAGAACCCGCTGCGGATAAAGTTATTAAGATTAATAATTAAAAAACCTTCGAAAACGTTATTAAAGTTAAAAGATTTTTAAGCTTTTGCTCTTACTTTCGCATCTAAGTCAAAGGATTCGCATACATTGCTAACCCTCTTTACAACCTTATAAAAAAAGATGTAGATTAGCAATAGACCGAAGCGCATTCGAAAGCTATGCGAATGCTACAAGACGCTTTAACTACGGCTCCGGTTTTAATCAAGATCGACTACGAAGACCAAAACAAGGAAATAGTAATAAGAACGGACGCTAGCTTAAAAAGATAAAGAGAATATATCGGCTAACGCGAGACTACCTCTAGCAAAGTGCAACCGGCTTAATACGAGTCCGAGGCTTAGACAAAAGCAAAACGGAACTACGACGCCACTAAACGAAAGTGCCGCGAAGTACTTAAAGTCTTTAAGAAACTCAAGTTATAGATTATCGGAGTGCACTTTATCTTCGAGACTAACGCTAAAGTGCTCGTTGCCCAGCTTCGACGAAGAGCCACCGATATACCCTCGGCCTTAGTTATACGCTAGCTAGCTTAAATCAATCTTTTCGACTTTAAGGTCCGACATATCCTCGATAAAGATCACACCGCTACCGATGCACTATCAAGACGACTACGGCACTTCGATGATTCAAGCGAAAAGGATGAAAATGAGTTCGATAATAGCCTGCTAGCCGACTTAAGACCTATTAAAGCCCGAAACGGCTCCGAAGAACCTTCGACGGACCCTTTAATAGATATTCGCTAATCTATTCTCAAAGACATATTCTAACGGTCGAAAGAAGCGGAGAATGCAAACCTAGACGAATCTAACGACGACGATTACGAAGGTCCTTTAAACCCAATCGAATACTCTTCGGAATCAATTCGGATAGCTACCTTCTTAACGACCTTGCGAAGACTTAAAGACTTAAACAAAGTAGAATATCGTAAGTTCAAAAAAGAAGCTATTAAGTACGAAGTAAACGATAAGAAGCTCTAAAGACTCTCGACGAAAGGTCTTCCCTTCCGATTAGTAGTCGATAAACCTTCGATTAAGACGGACATTATCACGGCCTGTCACGATAAGAGTAGTTATAAGGGCCGTGAATCAACTTACTATCGTATATCTCAGCGCTACTTTTAAAATAAATGCTACACGGACGTCAAACGATTCGTCAAAACTTGTAAAGAATGCTAGCACCGAGCAGCCAATAAGCTCGAAAAGCTATTGCATCCTACCCGATCTAATAGCTTAATAAAACGTTAAGCTATCGATATCACTTATCTACTTGCACGCAATAGCAAAAGCTACTTAATTATTGCTAAAGACGATATAAATAGATAGGTCGAAGCGAGAGCGATTCGGACTCGAAACTCGCTCTCGATAGCTAAGTTTATCTAAAAAGACATCATCTGCCGCTATAAGATTTTCTTTCAGCTGACAATCGACAGAAGTTCGAAGTTTAAAAAAAAGGTAATCGACTTACTTAACAATTAAAGAATCAATCGAGTCGTAATCTTAGCATACCACCTTCAAGCGAATAAAATAATAGAACGCGGCCACGGACCAATTAAAGACGCATTAAGTAAGCTTAAAAGCACCGACTGGATTGCGCAATTGCTAGCCGTTTTATTCGCCGACCGCACTTCGATGCATACTCTTATCGGATTCACCCCTTTTTACATAGTATACGGCAAAGAAGCAATGCTTCCGATTAAGACTCGAATCTAGTCTTAAGCTACGTTATTTCAAGAGCTAGTAATCAATCGTGCTAAGCTTATCGAGTTAAAGGCACGCTAGTTCCGGATGCGAGACGAGGATGCTACGGAAGCCACACTCAAGAAAACCCGCTGCTATTAAAAGGGAAAAGATGCTTTTAATAATAAGAAGAACCTCCGAATCAAACCCTTAGAAGTAAGTGACTTAGTCCTTAAGCACGACTCGGTACGTAAGGTAAATATGTCTAACGTCAAGAAGCTGGATTTTCGATAGCTTAGCCTTTATTAAATTTCGTCGGTAAATACAAAAGGATACTATAAGCTAAAAGAGCTAAGAAAAGACGAGGCTTTACTAGATAAAACATTTGCTAGCAATCGATTAAAGAAGTTTTACGTACGATACACCCTCGAAGCATCACTACTTCGCTCTAAGCCTTAAACAAAAAGATCTTTAAAACAGCCCTCACTAAATAAAGTAGCCGAGTCCGGCCCTTAAATCAAGCGCCCAAATGGATTTGTCATTCGATTACCTGGCCTTACAAAGGAGCAACGGAGCTAATACGCAAGAGTCTCTATAAGCAATAATAAAAAGAGTGATTAAATCATGAAAGCATGATTATACGTAAAAGAAAGACGAGTTTGGATTTGATTTTTGATTTTTTCTTTGTTTAAGTTTGGTTTTCTTTGTTTTCCTTCTTCTTACACTCTTTTTATTTCCTTTTTTATATTAAAAAGCCTTACGTCATCACACCTATATGCCCTCGATCTACTATATACGAGCATGTTACACATACAAAGCGGACCTTATTCGAAGGCTGATCAAAAAAAGCATACGAAAAATCCATTGCATTAACTACTTAGCAAGCTGCTAATACGCGATAAAAAAACCCTTCCGACCTTACAACTCAAGGCTAAGTGGAATGGTGCGAGAGCCTCCCGCAGCACTTTAAGCACTGCTCTCACCCCTCGAAGTCCTACCGATATTGCTACGACTCGAACCCTTCGAAGAACTACGGGTATTGCTACGGCTAGAACCTCGCGAAAAAGAACCACCGGTATTGCCGCGAATAGAAGCCTAGCGGGCATTTCGGCGGAGCTTCTTCGCAAGAGGCGCAAGAAGAGCAAAAGGTGCTAGCGATTCCGAAGATGAAGATGAAAATAAAAAAGACGAAGACTTTTCGGCAATCTATCGTAATCAGATCGGAAAAGAATCACAAAAGGTTCGCAACATACACTTACGCGGCCAAAGAAGTTACTCAGCAAAGTATTGTTTCGATCTACTGCAGCTAAGATCTAACGCAGCAAGTCTAGCGAAGCTGGATCGGCGGTAGCAACGGCGGCAAGTAAGCGTAACGCCGAGACGAGACTTAAGCCAGCTAAAAGACCTCTAGCATTAGCGGCGGCAAAGGAAGCAGCGGCGACACGAGCCCGAAAAAAAGAAAAAGCATTACCAACTCGAAAAGCAAAAGCACGGCGGGTCTTTATGAAAAGGTTATTTGCAACTATGCCCTTACGAAAAACGTCGTCGGCCGTCTTAGTTCTATTATCTATAGCCGTCATCGCATCCATCAAGACTATACCGGCACTAACGACTTCTACGGAGAGCTACCGAATCGGAGTCAGAACGAGTATAAGATAAAAGGTAAGATAACTCACGGAGATGCAAGTTGACTTGATAGCACGGCAACGCTCGCATTTAATAAAAGTGTCGAAAGAGAAAATGCACCGACTCGCAGCATTATCGATAGTTCTGCTTGCGTAGCCTACGCACCGAGAGCAAATCGAGAACATAATGATTAAGAGAGGTTAGTAGATGATAAGTGCTAAAAGAAAAGTGAAAGGGTGTAAGGTTGATATAAAAAAAAGGTTGACTGTTTATAGCAAGACCTCGAGTATATACTGCCGCTTTTGTTTTCTTTATTACGTTACCGCTCTAAACCCCGCGCTACTGCCGATTCGGCAGTGCGTCACCACTTGACCGCTTAAACCGGCGCACGCTTATCTTAACGACAATACTAACGCTCGAATTAATATTGTTCTTGTAATTGAATAAGTAAGCTACAAAAGATATAAAAAGGAGTTAGACCCGAGAGATTATCTTGCATTTTCGTTGCTATTCTTATCCTCTTTGTTATATCACATACGCTCCGTACTAACACCGATCCGGCGATGCATCATTAAGTAGTACTTTGAGACCGTATTGCGACTATGCAATTCGGCCACATACTCGTCTTGCAAACCCAACCCTACCACCTTAATAAAAGATGACTCGAGAGCGAGTCTGATTCGAAAAGGGGACGTATGTAATAGAGTTAAAGCTCTGTATTTGTTTTGTCCATGTATATAGTACTAATGCTAAGCACCTTTGTCACGTGGGTGCGCTGCATGCTCTGGCCCTGCTAAGCACGTAGTTAAGTCACGTGCAGGCTCTTATATAGACGAGTAGTTGGTTCCTCCCTGAACCAGTACCACATCATATCACACACAATACAATACACGTTCTCACAGCACACATTCGAGTGTCCTTCGATCGTCCTCCTTTTCCCCCCTTATTCACCTACGATTCTATCATGGCTATATTCATATACATCTCTTGATTTGACGTTAGGTATATGTCGGAGCTCTTCCCCTCCACAATATAAACACTTTACTTGATAAGGTTGTCGGTATTTCTATATCGACCTTAGCTAGCTAGTAGTAGTAGTTGGGGAACTCACCCGTGAACCATGGTTCACGGGTCACTTGGCATGCCTCGCTTAGCATGTCAGCAGTCAAGGGACCCCCAACTTGACAAGTAAACCTATTAGTTAGCTAGTGCACGTGACTCCTTCTAATCATATAAAAGGAGTCAGCTCCCTTGAGCCTTGAGGAGCAAATAGAATTTAGATACCTTATCAACCGAGTGTTTTGCAATTGCAAGTACTTTGACGACCTTACGAAGTTACGAATATATTCCCAATCGCTTAGAAGCAATCTAACACTGATCAATGGTTGATTTACTACTAAGTGATCAATCACAAAGAAGCTAAGAATACTCTATAGCGAAGATACCTTTCACTACGATACCTCCTTCCTTTTACAACGGAAGAGCGATTCCGTACCAAGTCGCTTTCTTACACCTCGATACCTTTCCTTTACAACGGAAAAGCGATTCCGTACTAAGTCGCTTGCTTATACTACCGATCTTTCCTTATTCTTACGGAAGAGTGATTCCGAACCAAGTCACTTTCAAAACAACAACTTCAACGCTATAAGAACCGCGCCCGCTACATATAGCAACCCAACTAAATTTAGATCGACTTACACACAAACAGATAACAACTATAGCCGATCGAGCAACTAGACTTCCGGGTAGGGAGTCTAGCCGACAAAGAGCAAGGTATTATACCTCTCGAATCTCATCACCACTTACGGAACCCTTAGCTATTCAGCTAAAAGAAACACTATACCTAGGGCTCTTAAGCCTTTCGGAAGGACCAGACGATAAGATGTCGAGCATCTCATTTGACCTAAACGAGCTCTTATACGCAAGGCCCGACAGTAAGATTACGGCCCGAGCAATAGTGAGGGACTTCTTGGACGCGAAGTGTAGAAGGCTGAGGGATTACGACCGCTGGGAGGAAATTTCGCTAGATTTGGTCAAGAAGGAGAATCCAGGAACCTCGCTTAGCGAGTGCTTTGAAAAGCTCGCTAAAGAGCTCAGGAGCATTCAAGGCTCTTTACGACCAGGTTTAAAGGACGATCGAAGTCTTGCTGACAAGCTGTATTCAGCTTGTAAAAACGTGCCAGAGACTACGATTGCACGAATGAATCCTGCTTTTACCTTTACCGCGGCAGTTGCTGACATTCGTCGAGCAATTGCTTTTGCAACTAAGACTTCTCGACTTCCCGCCAAGGCGAGTAGAGCTTACGCGAGCTCTAGCGAGCTATACGATCACACCTGCTCTCACAACACTTCAAGGGCTGACTCCGATTTGGACGAGGAATACGAATGCTTTATTCAAGACCGCTAATACTTCGGAGGTAAGAAAGCTGCTAAGGCTACTAAAGGTGAGAAAAGGTGTTTTGTTTGCAAAAAGCTAGGCTGCTAGAGCACCAACTACACCTTCGACGAGCGTAAGGCATCCGTCGCCAAGTTCCAAAGCTCTAAGGACGCAAAAAGGGTGACGAAGAGCAAATTCTTTTAGTACGTAGCGTCGATCGAAAGTTTGCTATTTGTATTTACGAAAGAATTCGATCAGTTTATCGCAAGCTTATTAGACGAGCCGCTCGAATCGAGCAGCTACGCTAACATGTCGGAAGGTTTTGTGACTATTTACGGCACTTTTAACGCTAACGAAGTATATAAGCAACTAGAGATTTAAACGGCATTCTACGCTTTTACTAGCCAAATCGAGACTTAAAACGTGCTTACGAGCAAAGCAAAGACTTACATAGCCTTTAAGTACTTTGAAAACGTGTTTATAAGCTTTATGATTGACAGCGGAGCAGCTAATTTCTCTACCGCTAGCTTGCTTTAGCTACGAGCACTTTAAAAGAAGTACTTCGAAGTCTAATTAGATACATCCCGAGCAAAAGAAAAGTCCGTTAAGTATAAGATTAGCTCTGCCACTTTTATTAAAGCAGTTATTTTAGAAACGCTTTTAAGTTAAGTAGAGTTCTACGTTATAAAAAGCGACGTACCTTTCTTATTCTTATTAGTTAATATAGACAAGCATAAAGTGATCTTAAATAACTTGCGGAACGTGCTAGTTTAAAAGAAGAAGGAAATACTAATAGTAAAGATGTTTAAGCACGTGTAAATGCTATTAAGTAAAGAGCACGTTGCTACTTATTATAGCGTCGAAAGCGAGACCGTCTATTGTTATCTTACGGAAAAGCAATTGAGGACTATCTACAAGCGTTTTAGCTATCTTTTAGCAGATCGATTTGCTGTTGTTCTTAAGAAGGCCGGGCACGAATTCAGACGGGATTTGCTTTATAACATCTAAAAGTTTTGCTACTACTGCTAAATATTCGGACGTTCTTTTAAGAGGTTTAGTATTAAATTTAAAGATGATATTGATTTTAATGACACGGTATACGTCGATGTGATGCACTTTAACGGCAAAAACGTATTACACGTCGTTTGCGATTCTATTAATTTTCAAGCCGTTATCTTCTTTAAAAGCATGTCCGCATAGCACTTACTTAAAGGATTCAATCGATATTAGATTAATACTTACGTCGGACCTTTTATAAATATCGTGCACGATCCCGGAACTAACTTCAATTCGGCAACGTTCCGAAGCTACTTTAAAAGTATTAGCAGCACTTTAAAGCAAATGCTTATAAAAGCCTATCATAGCGTCGGGCTAGTAGAACGCTACTACGTCTTTGTGCGACGCGCTTTTAAGATCGTCACAAAAGAGCTTTTAAAAGCTTTAAAGGAGGACCGGCTTTAAATGGCTATAAAAGCTATCAACGACATAGCTAGACTTAATAGCTTAGTTTTTACACTCTTCGTTTTTAAGACTTTATTAAGGCTGACGGAACAAGATCGATTTGCCGCGTCTACTTAAGAGCGTGCTGCTGCTATTAATAAGGCTATAAAGGAAGTACGAAAATGCTACGCTGCGAGGCAGGTTAAGAACGCGCTTAAGAAGAGGAATAGCTTAAGTACGGAGCATACTTTAGACCTTTTTATTAGTTTACGAGTACTCGTGTGGCGGGAAAACCAAGGGTAAAAGGGCCCTTTTCAGCTGCTTAGCAAGCAAGGGCATACGTGCATAATAGTATGTCCGAGACTTACGGAATTCAAGTTAACCTTAGTAAAACCTTATTACTTTGAAGTTGAAAAGCTGCTAGAAGAATTGCAGGTATTTAAGGTAGAAGCGGAGGAAGAAAAGGATGGAAGCGAAGGCGAAAAAGAGCTGGAATCGCGAAAGTCGCTTAAACTTTAATATTCGCTTAATCCATCGAGGTCGCTAAGATCAGCAAACAGCTTTCTCAACCCTTAACTTATTAATTCTTAAAGATCAATAATACTAATGGTCTAGATACTTTATTAGAAGTACGATCTTAATATCCCGACCGTGCTCGACGAAGAAGAAAGCGATTTTTACGTTTTATTTATTAAAGACTCCGAAGTGTTTATTACCGATAAAGAACGCCGGGACTATGAGCTCTTAGTTAAGCTACGAGCCGAGGGAATCATTAAGAGCTTTAAGGCACCGTTTTAAGAGTCGAAAGCAAAAGAATTAGCAAGATTAATAGCTTAAAGCATCTTTTAAGTGATCTCGAGCATTAACTTACGAGCTAAAAGCGCTAAGATCTTCGGGTCTAAGTTTATTAACGAGATCAAGAGCAAAAGAATACTTACGCTATACAAGAAGTCTCGTATAATAGTCTAAGCTTTTTAAGATAAAAGCAAGACGAAGGTATTTATCGAGTCTTTTACAGTATAACGAGCGGGCTAAAGACTTTGTTATGCTTTAGCTCTTTTGCTAATAAAGGATTACGAGTGTCAAGTCTGTAGCAAAGATATTACTTAAGCTTACACTTAATTAAGCACGAAGCTTATACGAATAATCGTCGTGCGATTACTTAAAGAGATCACTTATCGATTTCTTTTCGGCACTTTGTTTTTTATGATTAGCTTTTTATACGAGATCTTTAAAGCAAAGACGCATTAGTATAAGCGTTTTTCCGAGCACTTTACAAACAACCTCGGCATAAAGCAATCGAACTTTAACTTTTGCTTTTTTATATCAACTAATAAAGATTAGCTAAGAATAGCTGCTTTACAGACGGACGATGTTCTTATAATTGTCAATCGAGCTATAAGGGCAAAGGAAAAGAAAGAGTTGGTCAAATCTAAGCTAAAGAGCAAGGAAATAGAGACTTTTATATACGCCGAACCGATGATTTTTAATAGATGCAAGTTATCTTTAGATAAAGACGGGTTCGGACTATCAATTAAGTAAAAAGGGCAGAGTAAAAGGCTTGCAATGATTAAGCTCGATTCAGCTATACGGGCTAAAGAGTACTTGGAGCAACGTGCTCGAGGGGCGTATTTAGCTATCATTTGCTACTTAAAGGCATCTTGCGCTCTATCGATGGCTGCTTAGCATTAAAAACTAAGAGATAAGGATTATAAAGCTTTTAATAAGGTGATCTAGTAGCTGATCGATCACCTAACTCGAAGGATTTATTACGTACTCTTAGACTTAAGGACGGCGAAGCTCTTTATGTTCGTAGACGGAGCGTTTGCTAACAACGCTAACTTTAGCTTTTAAATCGGTTTCGTGGCTATCTTTAGCAATAAAGCTCACGTAAGTAAGAACGAGTTCACTTTGACGGGTAACATCTTTTATTAAGTGTCACAGAAGTGCAAGAGGGTGACAAGAGTAATATTAGCCTTTAAGCTATACGCTATGTCTTTAAGTATCGATATGGCTATTGCTATGTCGACTACTGTAAAAGCACCCAAAAAGATGTGCTGTATAGAAACCTGACTCTGAGGCTAGACCTTATGGTCTCACAAAAGAAGTGTTAGAAAAGGTAGGTGGAAAGCTCGTTGATTATTCTAGCTAAGAGATATGTGCCCTCTTATAAAAGATGGGTCCGTTTAGTATAGCCTTAGTGGTTATAGCAGGTACCCTATTAAGCAGGGTGTTTACATCCGTCCCTTTATAAAATAAGTAAGCGCCCTCGCCTACTATCAAGCAAAGAAGAAAAAAAGGGAAGGTATAAAAGAAAGAAAAAATCTAATATATAAAAAAAGAAAGGTATCTTGTCTTTAAACTCCAAACATCTAAACTACTAAACTACGCCTCGGCAGCTTCCTTATAATCTCTTTTCGTACTTACGTCTTTAACTCTTTCGTTCTTCTTAAGCTAAGAAGGTCTTTTTCTTTTGGCTAGGCTAGCATTAAATGATGAAGTGCTAATAGCAGCATCTTTAAAAGTGAAAGAGCGCGTATCGTTTTTGCGTTTGCTGCCGGCTGCGTCGTTGATAAGTGTGAACTTAGCCGACGAAAGGTCAGCGAAGCTAGAATAAGGTTTAAAGCCATTGGTCGAGTCGTCCTCGTCTTTAAGCAAATTAGCTAAGGCTTTTATAGCTTTATCGAATGCGCGGTTTAAAGATTCCGGTTGAGAAGATAATGCTTTAGAATCGTCGATTTAGCTCGTGAACCGTAGTTCACGAGTAGATTTCGCACTTTTTAAATTAATCTTTACACTTAAATCGGAGTCGTTAAAAGACAACTTAATCAATCGCAAGCTCTTTTTAAAATCTTTTAACTTATCGGCGTTTATAAGGTCGTCAGCTCGGCGGCTTTTGCTTTTAGAAAAAGATTTAGCTTCGTAAGTTTTAGCTTTAGCATTTAAAACAATAATAAATCTTTTTTTAAATGCCGAGAATAACTTCTTTTTATGCTTAATAAAGTGTTCTTAAAACTAAGTTCAAAACATAGCAAAGATAGCGGTCAATTCTTTTACTACTCGAGGTTCGTTCTAATTTATTCTTTTAATTAAAGCTTTCGATACGAAACTAACGTAGTTTAATTAAATTGTAGCAGCGAAAAGCTAGCTTGATTTATTAATAACTCTTTACCGAAAGGTTAGCGGCATGCGTCTTAAAACGATAGTGTAAGCGTGCTTTGCAAAGCTGACTTTATTCTTTAAAATGCTATCGTTTAGCAAAGCGGTATAGTTATTAAAAAAGATAGCTTATTCGCAAAAAGAATTCTAAAAAGCGTTTATATTTAAGAAAACACTTTATTTCGTAATAACGGATATAAGAGTAGCGAGATCTATAATTATAACGAAAGGTTAGCGTAGCGTAATGTTTTTAAAAGCATTTAAAGTCTTCGACTTAAGTTTAAAAGCTTTTTATTTAGCGGTTTTTCTAAAGGTAATGTCGTAAGTATAGCTTTTAAACTAAATACTTAAGCTTTCGATTTGATTTTTTACGCCGTAAAACATTAAGTAATAGTTTAAAACTTTATCTTTTATTTATAAACTACGGTTCA